AGAGTGGCTCACAAGGAGCTTAGGGAGGGTTGGCTGCCAGAGGCTCACCATCAGCTCAGAATCTACTCTTATTGATACAAGTTGTGGTATTTCTAAGGTTGGATTTAAATACGTGGGGAGAACTGAAATGGAATTTGCACTGGGAGAAGGCACCATGAGCGTGTAAGTAGCTAATAAAGAGCAGCACAGCTCAGTCCCTCATATGTGCTGGGAGATGCACATCGTTCCTGGAGAGAGCTATTAGCAATGCTTGGTAGCAGTTTCTGTCATACTAGTTCTGTCTCTGAATTTGCCCGGGCTCTGTTCTTGTACACTAACCCCAATTGTGCTCCAGGGTGTTCTGCAGTTGTAGCACAAAGGATGACCTCTTGTATCCAGCACCTTTTTGCATGGGTGAAGTGGAGAGCAGCTCTCAGTGAACCTTCAGCTTGTGCTTCTCCATGCTGCTTCCTCTCAACGCTCTTCTCTCTTTGGCGCTGCCTAACTCTGACTCTGGCTGTCCATGGGGTTTTCCTTTGTGCTTGATCTAACCATGTGGTAGAACAATACAAATTGAACATGGTTCTGTCAAGCACCATGGAAGGCTGCATACTCCCTGCCGCATGGCATGCTGGGATACTTCTGCTGTTTTCAGAACCATCAAAAGGTGAGAGATTCCCCTTTTCTCTTAGGAAAAGTCAAAAAGGTGATGTGCGTTGCTTAACCAGACTCCAGGCACCTGGGGGACTGCTGGGGGGACCCTGGTGACATTGGGTCTGACTTTCCAAAGGGCTTGCATGCTGAATAACCGTTTCCAAGTAATTAATCTGTTTAGTTGCTCTTAGAAGGGAAAAGTTAGGCATCCTGTTGGTGGATGAGATTCAAGGGTGGCTCCAGTCGTACTCACAGAGATGAAAACTCTTTTTTTGTCTACTTACCTTATGAATAATGTAAACTGCATCTCTCTACCTGAGCTGTCCTGTGAGTCCTTCTGCTTGAGGGACCTTTTGGATGCCGTGTTGTGTAATGAGATGTCTGATGCTTAACGTAACCTTGGACCTGATTTGAGCAGTCTTACTGTGCTGGCATTTCATTATGAAGAAGTATGCTGCAGAAGAACTTTAACCTGCAGAAGACTCTGCAAAGCATTATATTTTATCATGAAATGACACGGGTAACATGGCCTGTATGGAAGCAGTTATCCAATGATCACATAGCACAGAGCTGAATCAACATACTCTAATGAGCCCTTTTGGATCAGCCAGCATAGGTAAGACCTTTAATGTATTTCTTCCTAACTTTCCTCCCAGAGATTATTACTACACATATTTCATAAAGTACTTTGAGGGCCTCATGCAGAAGTTTTCTTGTATGGAAATGCTGCGTAATCTCACAGAGCTGCTGCATACCTGTTGTGGAGCCTTCAGGAGGAGGACATATGTGACTTTTAGATCTTCTCTGTAATTACAGATAAGAATTAATGCTTTGGATGGGAAATGATGCAAAACAATGTACATCCTGTGTTTTTTTTTTCCTCTGAAAATGTATGAAAATTGTGATCAAGTGGTTAAGTAAAGAAGTAAGTGTCAGGATTCCTGGGATTTTGGCCAAGTGTTAGACCCGTGATGTCCGTGATCTTATTTTTGCCAAATTTCAGACAGTTGGATCCATGTTTTATAGAAGGAAAATATCAGGTCAGTCATCACGCCTCTGAATAAAAACAGCTTGATTTTTTCCAGAGCGCATCATTCAGCACTCCTTTTGAGTCTTTTTGGAATTGCTCATTTTTAAAACTGAAATCAGGTTTGCTAAGCAATTGCTTACAAGAGCAGAAAAAGTTCTTTGTCTGTGCTGCTTAATTTCTCTGTGTGAATACTAGAGAGGCCCCTGAAATATGTGAGTGCTTGGAAATGCAGTGTTTCTTTATCACAGTACTGCTGTTCTATAAAATGGCCTTTGGTGTTGCTCACTGATGCTGCATGAATTACAGTGCACTGATACCTGGTTGCAGTGTCACATAGATTGTGAAATGAAAATGTTATCAGTGTAACTAGCAATTCAGATAAATAGCATTACCCTCAATAAAATACATGCCTTGCTCTTGCCTTGGCTCCTCATAATACTGATATTAAGAATACTTCTTCCTTTTGGAAATTGCTGAAAACTCCTGGTCATGTTTTACATTCAGCCAGGATTCACAGAGTTCTCATCTACACTGCACGTGTGCTTTCAAATGTAATAAAATGACCAAATGGCTGCTCTGGAATAGTAAAATAAAGTCAAGTGCGTGCTCTGTGCACATCCTGCATCTCTTTTCCATGGCTTCCCACAGGTGATTTTAGGAAATGCAAGAAGTACTACATGCATGGGTTGTTGTTTGTGCTTCCTGATTCCTGTCATATCCACTCAGAGCCCTGTAGCAATACAGCAGTAAAGATAGCAATGGGTGTATGTACCTAACTAGTTCTGCAAGCAGATGGCTCCATTTCGTATTAGTATCCCAGATGGGAATATCTTAATAGAGCAGCCACCTGTCAAAATGACCTCAAGGCTGAGGTCAAACAGTAAATTTGGTTTAGTTGTTGGCAGGTGATTCCTGCTTTCTCACGGCCTAATGGGTGACTAAGTACTTGCTGAGCGTATTTGTGTGCTTCTGATTGTGCCTACCTGGGTAATTCGTATTCAAAACTTTATTTTATAAAATACTTTATAAAGTTAAATAAAATACAACAAGGAAGGAAGGAAAGTATGAAGGTCCCTTCCTCTCCTGCTGAGTTGAGAGGGCTTTCCCCTGCTGCAAATGTGGAGGCAGTGCACTGATGGCCGCATGACTACAGCTTCCTATGGTTGGTGCAGGCTGGAAAGTTATACATCATCAGGAGTGTCAGTAAGATAAGTCAAAACGTGGTAAATATCCGTTATTGACTCTGCCAAAAAGCTTCTGCGAAAGAAAAAAAACAACAAAACCATCTATCACCCTGTGATGTTATATACACTCTTTTCTCCTTCACAAAACATCCCACTTACTTTCTCCTCCTTCTTTCTTTTCCTTAGGAATATTAATCCTGTATCTGTAAGCTGACAAAAATGTATACTTAATAAAATCTTACCCTGTGTAACCTCATGATGGTTGTGATTATTCATTCAAAGAATGCTTGTACAGTGAAAGTTAGAATTGCTTCTTCAAGGGTTAATTTGAGGAATTCCAAGACACTTTCTGATCACTGCAAAATTGTTTTTGTTTTCAATGTGTACTATAGCTGTAGCAGTTTTAATAAACTGATCCTTGTAGCTGTTCATGGCTGGCATTGTTTTGAGGAATCATAAGCAACCATAAGTACTGCTTTATAAGCCTAAACAAATACAGCTGTTTATGGAATCAAGAAATTGTACGTTTGTTACTTGACATTTTATCCAGACTGCCAAGCCTGCAATTTTTAGGACTGGAGATCAGATGTGCTTCTTTCCCCTCCTCCCCCCACCAAAAAAAAAAAAAAAAAAGCAATTTAAATTATGGTTGTAAGAAGAAATGTTAAGTATGTTAGAAATACTTCAAAATGCCCAGTGCTTCTCATATTTTAAGTGCTGTGCCATCAGGCTAAAAAACAGTAGTCAACTCTCACTATAGATGTGTAATTTAGAAGAACCATGATAAGCTGCAGGTGATTAGCACCACAAAGGTGGTAGTGTACAAAGCTGCATGTAATGTTTATCATAATCTAACCTGGAATTACGAAATCAAACCCAAGTGTGTCAGTGGAATCAAAATGTTAGATTGCTTGCAGAACTGCTTGCTTTCAGTGCATCACCCAGTGCAGGTAATGCGTAAAGAAGTTAAAATAACAGAGATTTTAGGTGATTCCTTTTTCCTTCTGAAAAAAAATAGTGTTCATTGATGAAATGAGTACTGGTGTAATTATCAGTCTGGAAGAGGGAAGCAGGTAAAGAATGTTGCCCAGTCTCTAAAACAAAATTTCAGCTGAAGTTTCCACTGCTGTTTTATGGTTCTTTACAAAATCTGAACATGCTCTCATTCCTGAGAAAGCGTTGAAATTGGCTTTTAGGACTCTGCAAAAGTTAAAACTATTTCTTGGTAGTTATGATTGCTGGACATTTTACAGAATTCCTGAGACAATTCTGGAGTTTCCGTTGTGAAATATGAAGTGAGTGGGCAGGTATTGCATGGCGGGGTCTGTCTTGGCAACGCTTTGATTGCATACACATTTATTAATGCTGCTGGTTCCATGAAACACAGAGATCAAGTTTCAAACATGCTGTTATTAAAAGAGAAAAACCAAATCAGAAAAGGACAGATTAGTTCACTGAGCCTAATTGGAAAAGCATTTCATTAGAATGGGTCAAAAAACCTAGTCAAAGAGGTCTGGCAGTCATGGTATAATGGCACATGAGGGAGTGCTTCTCACTAAGTATGGTCTACCCGTTTCTTAATTAAAATGAAAATGATTTAAAGTGCTATTACTTTCTTCTGCTGTTTGTTTAATGTAGTTAATAAAGGTATCTAATTGTTGGAAATAGTTGACAAGGTACTTATATACAGGGTTGCTCTCTAAGATAGCTCTAAGAGCTGAGGTTTGAAAATTTTGTTGTTTTTTTTTAATGACTTCATTAGAAATTTTTTGTCATTTGAATGTGTCAAAATAACTCCTGCCTTCATGAGATCCCTCCTACCTGCTGGAATAAGTGCAAAATCTGAAAAAGTAACTTTGCTGGAGCTTCTTTGAAGCAGACCCCTCAGCTAGCTAGAGATGTAAAAAAAATGCCTTAACAGGTATGCTGGTTAGATAGACAAGAAATTAATTTGTCAAGGGAAGAATGAAAAAGCAGAGGCTAGTCTGGGAGAGTCATTTGAAAAACTGTTGAAAAAACTTTTTGCAAGTATTAAAATTGAGTGCAGGAGCTTGTAGCTGACAGGAGGCAGTGTTGAAAACCAGTTCCATAAGTCCCTGATTGCTGCAGTTATCAGGAGCTGTTTGCTGGAATGTATTTTCCCTTTATTGCAGGGTCAGAGGATTACAGAAGTAAATTCACTGGGAAGTGTTTCATGGATCTTGTCTGTCCTGAGAAGTGTCGCTGTGAGGGAACAGTTGTGGACTGCTCCAACCAAAAGCTCACCCGGTTACCCAGCCACCTTCCTGAGTATACCACTGATCTGTAAGTGCTGCCTCTCCAAGATGTGCTCAGTCAGGCATGTTGGTTTTCCTAGATTTTAATGGCTGTATAAGGGCTCGGCAAGTCAAGGCACCTTCTGCCTTCACCATGGCACCTTGCCATGTGAAACCGGCTAGGTTAATTTTATTCTGGAGGAGCACCACAGCTTTCTTACCTCCTTAGCTCTCATGCTAAATACAGACATGAGAAAGGAGCCGTGGCCCTGTGCATCAGCTGCTTCTCTGTGTCTTCTTGACGTACTGCTTTGTCACGTGGCTCACACGAGCTGTTTTCATGGCTCCTCTTCCTTTGACGCCTTTGTGCCAAACGTAATTGTCTTTTTCAAACATAATTGTCTTCTTTTGACCTTAAGAAACAGTATGTGAACTGTTGTTCTGAAGTTAAGATAGAAGAATATAGGAGAGTGACGTCCAGAAACAAAGAAAAGTCTCTGTGTAGAAAAACTGAGCTCCATCAGAGAAAGCATTTGCATCCCAAGCCTGCCAGGATGGCAGCTTTTGCTTTATTTTTGAAGATCAATGAAATTTTATGGGAAATAACTTGGTATCAAACTGCTTCTATTTAAATGGACCAGATCTCCAACTGCACATCTCTTTTACAGGATGCACGAGGGAGGTTTAGACATGCAAACAAAGCCTTGTGATGGTGGAGGTTAATAATATATTACTGTATACATTGAAAGAAGGCATTCTTACGCTGTCCTTTGGCATCACACTCTTAAAGGCATCTTAAGCTTTTATATCTTTTTACGCTCCGGGAGTCTGAGCACATGGCAGATAGTATCTTATTTGCAAAGGTCATAATTCTCTCTTTCTGACAGTCCTGTATGTCACAGAGATATATCTAAAGAGATCTGTGAAGCATTAAATGTCTTTTTGTTTTTTTCCCATCAGGCGTCTGAATGACAATGATATTTCTGTTTTGGAAGCTATTGGACTCTTCAAGAAATTGCCCAACCTCAGAAAAATGTAAGTTCAAGTTATTTCTTTGTTAGAATACGCGTTGCCTTGGACTTCAAGGAAGGAGGAAGGATTGAAGTTTTATAGTTCTCTACTACCGTAGCAGAATTCGTTGTTTTTGATGTAAATTTAAGGAAACAGAGTGAGTTACCTCTTAGATGGACAGGCCCAGTTAAACTACGGGGAGTAGTTCAGTAGTTGGTTTAATAAGCAGAACCTGAAGTTTCTTGAGGAGACAAAAGTCAGAATCAGCTGTTACCTGCTGTGTGTTCCCTAAGCAGAAACTTTGCCATGGCAATTGAGGTTGCAGTCGCCTGTCACTTATTATATAGAAATAAGTTTTATTTAGTGGAAATGAAATTGTGGAATGTTGTGTGGGCTTATCACAGGCCTCCTTTTTCAGTGATACCATCAATCTTCTCTACTGCATGAGTGTATGAATGTCACTGAGTATATTTCTGTGTCTGTCTGTAGTATTTAAGTCTTCCAGTGCCATCCTGTTCCAGAGAAGAACTCACTCTGTAAAAGCCAGCCAGACTTGTTACAAGCTGTAAAATACTTGCTGCAAGCTTCATTTCTCCTCAAGAATGCAATAGCTTTGGGGATCTTCTCCTAAACTATACTTTAAAACTCTAAACACACCAACAGCCTGTTATATTCTAGGGAAAACTCCTCTCAGAACAAGCTGTTAGTATGTTAAAACAGAAAAATAAAAGAACCAAGCAGAGTTTTTGCAGTTGGGCTGCACTCTGGTGGCTGTGTTTGTGGTAATTTGGCAATGAACACCACAGTGAAATGTTAAAATTAACACGGAAGGTATGGCAGGATGAATGGTTCTGTTAAGTCTGCGTAGCACCCAGCTTGTTCTGTGTTGAAGTAAGAAGATCAACAGAAATAATATTATTATAAACTTTAGCCATAAGCTAAGTGAAATCTGACTGAAAAGTGAACTGTGTGAACAGTCTCACCTTGAGAGCTTCCTAAATCTGTTCATTTCCTATTCATAGCAACACATAAAGTAAACCTTGCCTTTCTGAAATTTTCTTTTGACCTCTTCCCTAAAGTAAATGTCTGGAAATAGGATTAAAATTTATCACTATGGTAAATCAGGGAGTCCTAAGGAAACAATAGCCCTCTAGAGTGACCAGGTTGACTACAGAGTTGTAGAACGTAGAATGGCTGGAAGGTGTTGGAAGGGACCTTGAAGTTTATCCAATTCCAGCCCTCCCCAGACCCAGCCATGGGCAGGGCCACCTCCCACCAGATCAGATCAAACCTGTCCAGGCCTTGAGCACCTCCACGGCTGGGACATCCACAGCTCCTCTGGACAGCATGTTCCAGGCTCCAGAGTAAAGAATTTCCCCTTAACATCTAATCTAAATCTCCCTTCTTTTCCTTTAAAGCCATTCCCCCTTGCCCTATCACTATCAGACTGTGTTCTTTGGATTCTGCCAGAGGCCGTATGTACCTTGGGAAATACTCAGGACTCATTTTCTTTTCCACTGTCTTTCAGTATTTCAAGAACAATTCCTGAGAGAAGCATAGCACTCTGAGACTATGGGGTTTTTCTATAATGGGGGTTTGCTGTAAAGCCTGTCAGAATTTTTTTCATAGAAAAAAAAAAAGTTCCTTGTCAAGTGCTGCAGTCATCATCTAGGAAACGTTATTTTAGTGCTGGGAAGGACAGACTGACGCTCTCTTGAGTTGCAGAGCAGGCAAAAGTTTCACTGCTTTTATTTTTCAAGATTTGTATCAGCAGTTGATTATTTTTCTGGTAATTCTAGACTGCAAAGTATGTAATTTCTCATGTCTGTTATTCTAGTGGGTAAGGCCTTAGGGATGATACATTCACTCAGAAGAGTAAATGCTGTCATCTACCGACTTTTTGTTGCATTCTGATAAGTGAAACTTTAATTTGGGAAAACAAATAAATCTGTAATTGACAGTACTTCAAGTGGTGTTATAGGGCACTGTCTTCTTATTGTAAATCTTTTCTCTTGCAACTTTGTTATACTATTTAATCTTGGATTTTCAGATCTCTTGCATGGGAAGGGTACATGTAATTGAGCTTTTCTGCAACTGCTGGCTTATTTTTGGATAATTTTATGTTGTTGAAATGACAGGGCATTTATTCACTTTACTGAATGAAGTTGCTTCTCTATAGAGATTCCTTGCAAGCAAAGAAAATTGAGATGGTTTGGCTGGTGTAAAGGTGCCAAATCCTTGGCAAATAGTAGCCAGCCTTCCTCTCCAGTATTTGCATTTTTTGCCTTGAGTATATGATCATCCATTAAAATTGCATCAATTTTTAGGAAACGTGACTAGATATCTTTTAGATGGTAAAAAAATAACTAGTAAAACATTTAACTATAAATATAGGTCAGTTTGCAGTCTGTGAGTTGAAAGTCAAAAGTCTTTTAATAACTCATGCTCCTTTCCCACCACAAGCATTTATTTAGTTATACATTTATTTTTGCACAAATGAGCATCATGGTGTGAACTTAACTATGAAAGGGATCATTGGGAGCAATTATTTATGCCAGTATTCAACAGAGATGCTGAGCTATAAACGTTTCCATTATAGAAATAGCTGAGCCCCAAATTAAATGCATATGTCAGAATATCCACCCCTGACTTGTTTTTAACTCACGTTAAGTCTTTGTGTAAGTGTTAGCACAAAGTACAAAGCCCCTGGAAAGCAAAACCAGCATTTAAGTTTTCTATATACTTCTATATCATTTTTGTCTGATTGCTGGCATGCTCCTTTCTGGTCACGGAATGCACAAGAGGTGATGGACCACATGCTGGGCCCGGTGTCTGACAGTATTTCAGCAGACATAAACCAGCATACTCAAGTTTCCCACATGAAACATATCTCCAAGACTCAACATTTTTTAATTAAGTGATGACTTCTGAAAAGAGCAAGACCTACATTATTCGTGTCTGAGGCCAGGCTGTCCTGTTGCCATGTCTTCTGTCGACTTTTATCCCAAGAAGATTGCCTGTTCTTCTGAGCATTGTAGCCCAGGTGCTAAGCTGATACTTTGTCATTTGTTTTATATCACCTGGAATTGGATTTTGAAACTATTACTCATTCTGTGTGTAGTGGGATCATTTCTGGAATAAGATATTGTTCAGTATTAGCAGTAGTGTTGGAATTTGGCATCTTCTTGGGAACAAGAGTGTATGTTTTACTTTCTCTTTTTTATTGTAGACAGTAAAACAAAAATAGTGCTGCCTGTCAAAAGCCTAAACAAATAGGATTACTCATACAGTCTGTACAGGACTTCATAAGGGCGTGCTTGAAGGACTGAGGCCCAAGGTTTTCATGTGCTTACAGCCTTTTACATAAGTGTTTTAAATAATTAATAGCCATTTATTTTTATGCATCTCTAAGGGCATTTTATCATTCAGAAGTTCTCTATTCACTGGGTTTTTCACAAATATGAAATATTCAGAAGATTCACTTTTCATTCCATCAGGACTTCATTTGACTTTTTAGACTGAAGTTCTCCAGTGTTGATCTACGACAAACGTCTTGAGGCTGCAGAGGCAGAGTAAATATTTAGAAAATAGTGTTGTGTATTGCAGTAGGTGTGAACTGAGAATTAAATGATACTCATTTCATTCTAAAAGATGGTATTAAATTTAAACGCCTAAGAGCTCATGAGTGCACATGTTAACATTTGTATCAGATGCATTCAGTCACGCAGTTTTTTACATTTACACCAGTGGTCAGTTTAAAATAAAAACTGTGGTTTGCTAAATAAGCATGTTTCAATATGATGATCCCTATTTCAGTGGTAGTAATATTGTTTCTGCTGACACCCACTCCCAAGCAGAATCTGTAAATTCAAGGACATTAATCTGTGTTAAAAAACCCTGTTTATAGCAGGTCTGAGAACTTCTCATCAATGAGATGAGGTATTAGAGCTGGTAATTCCATGGATTTAAATACTCTTGATAATCTGATCTGTATTTTTTATAAGTGGAGTGAAGAGAGCTATTTGTAAGTACATTAAATACACTTCTGAGCTGCTGTATCCTCTCCTTGCTGACTGCATGCTTTCTAGATAACCACTGAAATGCATATAACTGTCCTTCTCCCTTCCAGTGTGATGATATATGTTTTGAATGAAACACTAATCCTTTTCTTATTGTGACTGGTTGTCTCTTTCCAGAAATCTGAGCAATAATAAGATCAAGGAGATTCGAGAAGGCACGTTTGATGGAGCTTCAGGAGTGCAGGAGCTGATTCTGACAGAGAATCAACTGGAATCAGTGCATGGACGAATGTTTAGAGGCCTCACGGGGCTGAAGACATTGTGAGTGCAAAGACCTGTCTTTCTCTTTTTCGCTGTATTTTGAGTGGGAACACTCAAGTTCAGCAATGCTTGCTAAAATCTCTGTTACTAGACTGCTCAAACTCAGCATCTTGTTTCAGTGTGATGAACCTGCAGTAAATTGCTGAGTAAAGTCCTGAGTAGGTGTGAGATTGATGTATGAGATTGATGTACTTTCTGTAGAAGAAAACGGATTTTCAAAAGTTTCAGGAGCAACTTGATGGTGAACCTGTCATGGGCCAAATTAGGTGTTTTTAATCATTTAATACTTACACTATTTTCTATAGAAACAAGGCATGTGGGAATGTATTTGTTAGCTATTAGTTCATCTAACCACAGTCCCCTCCATCCAAATTGGAATTGTTGGTCTGCGTAAACCAAACCTCAGAGGAGAGGAGGAACCTAAGGGATTTTTAATATCCTATACGTTATATGAAATCAGCAGGAAACAAAAGAAGAAAGGCTTGAGTTACTGCCACCACCAAAAGTGGGTGTAGCTAAGCGATTTAAGGTGGGCCTAACCAAATTACTGCAGGGCCTGCTGGCAGAAGGTAGCTGCCCCATCACTTTGCACCAAGAGTAACTGTCCATGAACATACACATAGCTTTGGGATGTCCAAATAGCCCCAAGTGCTATAAAACATACCTGCAGCTGTACTGTTAACGTGGTTGTGGCTGGGGACAGTGCATATGAGACACAGAGCACAAATGCATAAGAAATCAGTTTGATGCTACTTTTGCTCTTAGAACAACTTTGCAATTTACTTCTTATAAGTGTTGCTTATACATAAGCTCATAGTAAGTAGCATTCATTTACTTTCAAGTTAAAAAATATATTGGAAGAAGACTCAAAGACAGGATTTCAAGATGGCATCCTATCAACTCCTTTTCCCTATCCTGAGAAGCAGTCAGGCCTCTGGTGACCACAAAGATTCATGCCAGATGATGAGTATGATCTGCATGTGAAGAATACCCACTTCTGCACAGTCTCCCTCTGTGAAAAGAAAACACTTGATGAGGTGGCTGCTGTCATTAAGAAAACTCTAGGAATCAAAATGAAATTTAAAATCTGCAATGTATTCATTAGCAGCAAATGCATCTTATGTTGCACAATATCATGGCACGATTCCTTCAGTCCAAGTATGAAAAAAATATCCAGGCTTCACTTGGAGGACTTTGGCCTGTAATGACAAATAGGGATCTTTTCTTCTGTTATTCCTTAACATTGTTTTCCTGTGGTTACAGCCATCTGTTCTTTAATGTATGCATTTTACTAAGGGAATTTAAAATATTGTCCATAGATACTAAATTAATTTTCGTAATGTAAAGCAGTCTGTAGCCATGCTCCTAAAGAGTATTCAGCATTTTTTTAATAAAAAAGATACTTAATATTCAAGCTATCCTGCTGACCTGACCTACATTTCTCCCTAGCTGATAAAGCAGTCTAAATACACACAGCATGAAATGAGGATCTGTAAGTATAAGTTTTCATTCAGGAAGGGCACACAGTGCATGGTACACCATGGTATGAAAGCAGAGGTTTAAGCTTGAGGGACGTATATGTCTATCCATTAATTAACTTGTTCTGAACACTAAAGTTAAGACCTTTTATGAAGAGGCCATGCTGGACAGAGTTGTAGTCCAGTTTTTAAGACTTTTTCCTAAAATGTAATAGATCACCTTGAAATATATATTGTAATCCAACCACCTTTCAGAACTATTGTCTGATACTTCACGTACAGAATTGAGAAAATGTTTCCTACTGCTTCAATATATGAATTTCCCGAAGTGACCAAAGCTACTGAAGGCCTTTTTTTTTGTATTTACACTCACCTTTTGGAGCCTGTGACCTTGACCTGGCTTTCAAGCAGCTTCCTACTGCATGTACAAGATAGTAAGTGAGTGTCTGTGTCTGGGAATTTCTGAAGGCTTCATACCTGTTGCAACACAAAAACTACTGAGACTGTGGTGGCTGTGAGGATTACTATATGCAGAGAACAGTAATGCTAAAGCAGTGCAATATCCAGGTCTTACAAACTGAGTGTTTGTGATTGCACTGTGATTTCTCCTCTGCTATATTTAATCTCTCTTTGGTGTTTCTGAAGAGTCTACTGATCTAATACCTAAATGCCCAACTTGCAGGAGGTTGCAGGCCAGCCTTCTGACAGAGTCTGGATTTTCGTTGCTCACTGCAAGAATCTGATACCATAGAATGAGCAGTCCTCAATTCAGAGCATCAATCCACTGGAACGGCATGAGCTGCATGTATTCTGTGTATTTCTGATTGTGTGCTTTAATTACTGAATAATTTTTCACCTAAGTAGAGATATTACAATGGTGATGTTTACAGATCCAGCTGTTGAGTAGCATGAATTGTAACAAATGCTCATAAGCCTTTTTTTTTTGCTGTGGAGAGAAACAAGACACTACAGTCTTTCAGATTAATTAGAAATTATCGTGGAGTTCATTGTTACCATAACAACTCAGAGATAGAAATATCTTCTGAAACACAGCATTGATTCATCTGGTACAAACACAGAACAAAAAATAAAACAGTTATGGAATGGGAACTGCTTTCTGCCCTGTCATTGGTACTAACAAGATTTCAGAGCTTGCTTTACATCTGGAAATCTTTCTTAAGCTATTCCTTCATTTCTGCTAAGGACTCTGTTTCCTTCCATGCTTTTGCATTGTAGATTACATCCATGATAGAAGCAATGCAGTTAGTGTTACTGTCACACATTTCTGACAGCCTTTCTCAATGCGTCTCTGAAATACATCTTGCTCTCAGACACTTACTAAATCAAGAGACTTGAGAGTATTTAATTCAAGTTTACCACTTGATTCCAAACTAATTTCACATGTCAATTTCCCATTAGTTTCCAATGTTGTATAGAAGAAACGTATTTTAAATTCTGGAGACAATGTTTACGTGAGTTTCGCCCTCCTCTAGCTGCTTAGTCCTACAGCAGTCAGTAAAAATGGAGCCCAGTGGTTGCCAAACCATCTGTTGATGCCCTAGAAACAGAACATCCTAGCCTGAAACTGTACCCACTGTAAATATTTCTTAATTTCTTTCTTAAATCTTTTCAGAATGCTGAGGAGCAACTCTATCAGCTGCATAAACAATGACACCTTTGCTGGACTGAGCTCAGTGAGGCTTCTTTCTCTGTACGACAATCACATCAGCACCATCACACCTGGAGCCTTCAGCACATTAGTCTCTTTGTCTACAATGTAAGTTATCTTAAAATGTGAACATGTTGTGGTGTTTTTGTTCCATACTTTCTTTACAAGGAAACAGCATTCGAGTTTCAAAATCAAAAGTCTTACTTATTTCTATCTGGAAGACCTCATTTAAAGAAAGAAAACCCTGTCCTGAAATCACAGGTTTGAAACCATCGGGCTGTCATTCATAAAACCATTAGAACTGTTGCCAATTTTATGTTGCCAATTTCAGGCAGAATGACTGCATGTTTTGCCATGTTAGTGCAGTGCACAGGAGGAGTTCATGTAAAGCAGCTTCTTCAGATTCAGAGCTGCATAGCTTATCTTACACTTGAGCTCCCCAAAGCTTCATTAGGTTCAGTGGAGTAGTTTTGTAACAACAGCCTTCTTGGATTTCAGTCGAATAAGATAAATATCAGAAGAAAACAAGTAGCTAATGCTTAGATTTTCAGAAGAGCCTAATAGGACAAAACACTCCAGTCCTACTGAACGTGAATTTGAAATTTCTAATCTAAGCTTTTCTGATAACTGTCTTATATTTCTCAGTACTTCTTTGAAGCAGTTCCATTGCTGTTAAAATATTCTTATGTACTTCTTATAATGTGTCCATTTTAATAAAGTACAGATTGATAAATATGGAGAGAAAGTCTGCTCTTTGTTTCCAGCTGTGAATGTGGACCCTGATGTTGCTGTAAGTGGAAGTTGTCTGATTAATTCACTTCACACTGCCCTGAAAATAGACACTAATTGTCCAATAAAAACAAACTATTGGAGCTATTGCATTTCAGGTTTTGAACCTAGATTTTGTTTTCATTTGTTTTCTGTAGCCCCCAAAGCCCCCTTGAAATTGAAATTGGTGGACAAAGAAATAAAGACAACCAGATTATTTTTATTGACTGTTTTCAAGTCATGGGTCAAATCTAGTGGTAGTCACTGAAAGCTTGTTCTCTCAGTGCTGCAAGCAGTGCTTGCCTGCTTCTTGCACAATTGCTTCTGTATTTCCTTCATAGCTGTAACTCTGAATCAGTCTGTAAAGTCCTTGCCTTGTTTGCACAGATGTGTCTTTGTCATATTTTGTTAGAAGATGCCCAGCTTCCTTTTTTCAGCTGCAGATGACGAATATTAGAATTTATAGCAAGAGAAGCTAAAGCTGCTTGTAATAAGACTGCATTGCTTTGGCCCTGCCTAAGTATCATGTTGGTCCTGGCAGGTTCCTACTGGTGTCTTGAAGAAAAGTTTTCTTCTTTGATATATTTTTAGGTTGATCCATGGACAGTAAAGGCAGGAGGAGGTTTGCTTTTGACTTCTTGGGCACTGGGACCTAGACAGGGCATAATGATCTTTCACAAATAAATCCAAAATGCAAATGTGTTCATTTCCTAGAAGCACTCTATTGTAGGTAGTTATGTGAGATGACAACACTGCTGAAGATGTATAGTATGACTGCTTTCCCCATTCAGCCCACACTTGTAAGTTAATTAGGATTTGCAATGACTCAACTCTGTATCTGTCAATGGGAGCCAGAATTTACAAAATTTGACATTTCTTTCCTTTTTTTATCTTGGTGTATTTACAGCCCTTAAAAAAATATTGCTCCTTTTATTATTGCTTAGTGTAGCAGCCTCACTGATACTATCAAAACATGGACAGCTCTGAAAATAATGTGCTAATGGTTTTCAGTAGTGGAGGAACATCAATTCTCTAAGTTATTGAGGAAAAAAATAACAGTTCTTATTAATTGGTACTAGTCAAAATATGTATTTAGCATCCTAATTTGAAGTGTACTTGCACTTTTGTATATATGGTATTCGGTCATGTCTTTCAGTCCTTATAGTGTCAATTGGGCATGTTTGTAAGTAGAACTGCCCCTTCATGACTTAAGCATGCAACTATTCTCAAACTTAACTTGAATCCCAGGATGTATTCAGCCTAATTTCAACAATATCCAGATGTGTTTCAGCATGTTTTTCTAACAGGTCACCAGAATTCACTTAAAGGGTTAATATTCTATGCCTTCTTTGCAATTTTTAACAGAGACGCTTGTAGTAGGATATGAATATTTCATTCCTCAAGGCTTCTATTCACCCTTGATTTTGAAAATATGTCTGTGTCCTTGAGGAAGCACTTACGAATTTAACGATAGTAAGACATCTTTGCTATAAGTGTGATTGCTTTGTTTCTGTTACAGTGGTTAAATATTGCATGTGGGAACTCTGATTACTAATTATGAATTTTTAAAACAATTTTCCCAATGTTTCTGTTTGTGTAAGTCCACTTGAACAGCCAGATTCCAAGATAAAATTATGAAAATATGAAAATAATTGGCTGCCCTAGACTTTCATCTGCTTTTCAAGTCACGTAGGGGATCTCTTGTCCGATCCCCTATGACACTTCAGAGATCCTTAATCTCACAGTTTTGCCTTGGAAAGAGTACATATGTGCTCATGCCACCTTTATATTAAAACAAAGAAGAAAGAGGCTGGTCTTCAGTTGGACAAAGGGTGAAATTCGAGTGCCACTAAAGTGGCAGTAGAACACATGTGATTGTGACAAGATAAATCTTTAACATTTTTCCCTGTATTTATTTAAGTTTCAGAACAACAGATTTATTTCTCCACTCACTTAAAATGTTGCTTAGTTGCTAGGAAAAGTATAATCCAAATGTAAGCCAAGGATTTAATATTTTTACTGATATGTTAACCTGTGTTTGCCAAGAAAAAAGATGAGGGTATGTGGATAGTTGCTGCTGCTCAGCTAATGGGCAGTAACACATGAAGTTAAAGAAACCTCTATAAAATGGGCATAATTACTGTTTTGATGGGAGTGACCTGTAGACTGACCATATGAATGTTTCTGCAAGTTCTTCCTTACTTTCTGAGCTGCAGGTTTTCCAGCAACCTGATTATGTACACCTGCTGCTTGTTTCCAATTGTGGGTGACTTCATTGTAAGGATTTGTGTCATGGAAGTTGTTCTGTGAATATGATCTCACTCGCTTCCATCAGTGGAACAAATGATGTTTGAAGCAATGGCTCACTTAGCTTTGGAGATCTAAACTCTTGGTTTAAACACACTGTTCATGCCAAAGTATGTCTGTATGGAAAGTACATGAGGTGCCCTGCATGTGGACCCATTATGGATTTAAAAAAAAAAAAAAGGGAGAAAAATTCAGGAAGAAAGTAACCAAAATTAGATGGATGCTTTTATTTCTGCATGTTCCAACTGAAAGCTTCTTCATAACCAGTTTATTTTTTCATCTTTATGCAGCAAATTAGTCTTGCCACCAAATCCTAGTCAGTATGTAGTAGATTGAGCATTCTTATTATCAAGCATTCAGCTGAGTACTGGAGTCCCTGTTTCTCCCTCTACAACACGTACAACCATCTCTGCTGGCTCCCCATGTAATTACACACACAGAGCTCCTGACTGCTGCAGTAATTGTAGTGTGCAGTGACTGGAGTGTGCTTTTTTGACATGGAGAGCAGCTGTAGCTCACTGTTTTTGCTTATGTCATGTTGACCTAGAACCTGTATCATTTAGGAATTTGTTTGGATTTGTTTTCTTGTTGCTGCACCTTAGCTGTGCCAGATGTTTTCACCTTCAGCACTATTGCATTCCAAAGGATTTGCTTGGTTGAAAACCTAATGTGATCTTGGCTACACATTTAGGCTTCCAAAAGTATGTTGCAAGTGAAGATTTGCAAGGTCTTCAGCTACTGCACCTGTATTTGAAGTGTGTGTTTCTTTAGGAAACATTTTTTGTTTTAAGATATGGTGTGCTATAGAGGAATTTCATGATCATCTCTTTTTTCTGTTCTATTGAAATGAGAAGCCTTGGACATACGTATGATGTGAGAATTCCCTCAGTGTTAGTTTGGACGCTGCATTTTCCTTATGTGAGGCTCTGATGGTTCATTTTCCTTCAGTATGGAGCCCTAAACTCAGGCTATTGATTCTCTCTGTATTTGTACAGAAAAAGAGTCAGCCTTCTCTTTTACCAGGACTATCAGCCTCTTGCCTTCATTTTAAATTTAATTCTGAAACATACACAAATAATATATATGAGTTTTGGTACAGAAAAAAAAATAAAATTTCCAGGATTCTCAAGTCTAATTCTAGCTAGCTTAGAAAGATCCTTGTTCAAAATAAGTGTCACCTTACACTCCTTTCAAGAAACACAGGCTATTAAGAAATGCATATGAATAATTGCTTCTCTGTACCAGTATCTATATTACAGGTGTCCCACTGAGAAATGGCTGTGACATCTATGCTTTTGTGGCCTGACAAGAGAATGGATGGGGCTTTCTTTTTTCAAACACTGCTAAAACAAGCTGTGCTATAGATCCCTTCCTCTTAGAGAGGCTGTCAGTGTGTTTCTTTGGGTACTGCACACCATAGTGCTGTAGCAAAGCTGAAGCTGCTTTGGAAGGATATTCTGGAGCAGTAGCAGGATTTGATGCAGACCTCATGAAGTCCACAAAGCAGTAAATCATATGTTTTTCAGATAGTACTGAACATAGAAGGGAAACTTTATAAGGAGTGGCCCAAGCTGGCAGTGCTGCTTAATATTCATCTATGTGCATGCAGGCAACCTATATGCAACTATTCCTGTACGCAACCCAAAAGAAGCTCCTGCCCCACTGCACATGTGAGACAGTACTGTAGGTGTATGCTAAGCTTTTGTGTGGCATCAGCTGAAGTCATCCCTCTGAAGATCGTGCATATGTGTGCCACTGTGTGAAGTGAGTTTAGGCTTGAGTGTAGGCTATAGCTTGAGCTTAAATACACTTGTGAGTAAAGCCCTGTTGGTGATGCAAGTGCATCTAAATAATGGATACAGCAGTAAGTGCTTTGGTTTATAAACATATATTTATATGCATATATATTTTATTACAATCCTTGTTCCTATCAAACCTGCATAGCATGTGCCCTGTCTGTAGAACAGAACAGGATCTCATAGAAACAGATGGCAGGAAAGAGTCTGGACATGGAACCTGTCTTTTTTCGCTACTTACTTAAGTATTTCTGTATGGTTTTTTTTTTTTTTTTTGTTTTTTGTTTTTGATGCAATTATATCTTGTTCCGTTTCAGCAATTTGCTGGCGAACTCCTTTAATTGTAACTGTCATTTGGCCTGGCTGGGAAAGTGGTTGAGGAAGAAGAGAATTGTCAGTGGAAATCCACGCTGCTTGAAGCCCTTTTTCTTGAAGGATATTCCAATCCAAGATGTAGATACCCAGGATTTCACCTGTGAGGGTAAGAAAATCCAGTTCAATTTGGTGTCTATGGTAATGTTGGCTCTGTGTCAGGGCCTCCCTGCCTATCAGACAATAATCCATAGTGAATATTTCAGTTTAATGATGATGAAGACAGCCTTCTACAGCTGAAGATCACTGTTCCCTATCAGTTTACTTTCATTCTTGTTGTCCACATTCTGCATTTCCACTACCTTCACATAAAGAACAAATTCATGAAAGACAAATGCTCTGCTCTGTATAATCTCAGTATAACCCTAGCCCTTCCTCCCAATTCCTTATTCATGCATGTAATTAAAACTCTTTGAAGCCAGTGGGAGTGATCTTTGATTGGAAGTTATTCTATGTTTGGGGAACTGCTTGGTTTAACCATTAGCAAATGAATGCAGGGAAATAACAAAAGAAAATGTAGATAGTACTTTAAAGACTCAGTGATGCTTAGTGCTTTGCTGTGTCCGTGTATGTTACAAATAAAAAAAAGAAATTCCTTAAATGTCACTATTCTTCAGGTAGTTCTCATCTTTGTCTTATGATCCAGCAAAATTTAAGGAAAATAAGAAAAACTGACAGATGAATACACTGCTAACTTAACTTGTAGGCTGCGGTTGCCTCAAAAGCTCAGATGTGTTGGAGCTGCAGGTACTCTTACCTCTAAAGAGACCTTGAGAGTAATACGAGTTTCCTACTCGGAGCAGAAATGAACTTCTGCCCTAGTCAGGCAACCTGGCAGCAGGCCCAAATGCTTTGGACTCACAGCTCAAGGGAACCAAGTTTAGTCTTTCAGGAATAATTGGCTTTTAGTTAGGAAAGTAAAAATCCTGGTCAATGAAATGACATTCCACGCTTTGCAGCTTTCTCCATTGCACTTGCAGTGAAACAGCTGTGGTGAATGAAAGGTACGTGGTGGCAGGATGTGAAAAACAGAATTCAGGGGAAAATGGAATATGCTGAATATGCAGAAAATACATTTTCTGCAGGTTTCCAAAAGGCTCTGAACTTTGTTTCCATCTGCAAAGCTCAGCTGGAGAGAAAAAAAGAAAAAAAATAATCTCTTTTCTTTTGTAAACTAGTCATGCTTCTCCATCCCACTGAATACAAATGACTCCCTGCCCATACATTCATGGGTAATTTTGTTATCTTGTAGCAGGAGTTCCACTCTTAGTCTTTAATCTCAATGCTCATGGGTACATCCAGCAGAGGGAAGGAAGAAACAGATCAGTCTCAATTAGTCCTTGCATCGGTTTTTAAAAACTGAAGGCACATAATGATGGCTGACTGTGGGCTCTTGGATTGCAGCCCTGTGTATCGGCACTGGTCCACTCAGGCTGCCTGTACTCTCACTTGTGTGGTTCCCCTCACTGTCATCTACAGAATGTGCCACTGTGTTTTCTTCCATATACATCATGATACTGTACTATGCATTTGCTTCATGTTTTGTAAAGCCTGTTTTTTGGGGGGAAAATCCCTGCCTTAGCATTCTTAACTTCAAAGCGTTGGTTTGTTCTGCAGAACTATTGTTCTTCCATTATGGGATTTAATCTGTTGTTTATGGAACTTTGAATCCATTTTTGGAAAAAGTAGATATTTTTATGTGTGCACAGATGGGCTGCCAGCAGTTGGAAGTATGCTGCTCAGTTTGTTGTTTGCCCGGTTATTCCTGTCAAAAGCAATGAGATTTTCAATTCAAATGATAAATGGAGTGCCAGGCTGATGTTAGAAAATAAGAAATTAACATCTAAAAATTGAATTTATAGAAAAGTCTTCCTTGAACAGAGTAGATTGTGGATGTCATCTAGCTAGATGAGTTTGAGGATAACGTTCTTGTCATGTTATCCATTTCACCATGTCCATCCTGGAGACAGGGGAAGGATTTAGAATTCACATAATTGATTTTACAATATTTGAAAGATTAGTAGAGAAGTAGATCTTGCTTGGGGGAAAATATATATATATAATATATTTATTTAAAAATACGGCCATTCAATTTTTCAACTGTTGCTCTTGTTGCCTGGAGAACTTGTATGTTGATCCAAAGAGCAACTTCAAAATTCTGTGATGGTTAACCTGGATTCAGGGATGTTCCTCACTGGTCCTCGTAAGAATCTGCTGTCAAAGTGCATCAGGCTGTGCTGAAAGCTGATTTCTCTTCTGAGCATCCCATTTCTCCTCTGCAGGTAATGATGAAAGCAGCTGCTTGCTTTCTCCTCCTTGTCCTTCCCAGTGTACCTGCATGGACTCGGTGGTACGTTGCAGCAACAAAGGGCTGCGAGTAATGCCCAAAGGAATTCCCAAAGATGTGACTGAGCTGTAAGTTACATTTCACGTGGCTCCTTTCATGAGAAGTTCATGACATTACATTGTGGGGAAGCTTTGTGGGTCCTTTGGGGCTTTTACCTTCAGTGACAGAGTGGCTGGTATTTTGTGCTGTGGTGCTTTCTGTACATTTTAACTGTTGTTATTTTTATGTTTATTTGTCCCTTGACCGACTGCATTGCTGTACAATGGGAACAGAGTTTATCTGTCCTTGCACTCATTAGTTCTTTGCTGGGAACAAATGCATATATTAGTATCAAATGATTCCGTAGTGCTTCTGAGCTGCCTGAACTCACGATAGGCATTTTGAAAGGACAATGAAAATGTATTCCTGACTTATGCAGCTGTGAGCTAATTATCCTCTAAGGAGGCAGAGAGGAGGAAGAAAAACTGCCATGTGGTGGAAACAAACAATGAGTTTTCTCCAAGCCTCATGAAATGTCTAAAAAAAGTGATAATTAGATTACATTGTAAAGTAAATTCATCCTAGTTGAGAACCATCTTTCTAGGCTTCTTTTCAACTACTCCTTACTATTATACTGGATTTTGATTCTTTCCAAAGAAAGAAAATACCCTGGTGGCACTGCTTGGCTTAAACAGTTGGCAATAGAAATACAGAGCTTTTCTCCTATAGATCCTTATTCAAATCTATCCCAGGTGAATTGTTCCTAAAGCTTTTTACAAGCTCATCTATATTTCTCTATGAATGTAGTTGGCTGAGTTAGTTGTTGTGTTCACTGAATTTTGTAATGGATGAAAATCCACTTCTGCTTTACCCCATTCAGTAATGTGGCAACTGATGAGTGAAATACACATCCTTTGACTTCCTTTGCAGTGGAAGGGGGTTTGTGCTGTTTTTAGCTATACTGCAGTCAAATGTAGGGCCTTGTTGCTTTAATGGGGAGTGGACTGAGAGTGTGTGTGGAAATGAAAAAGAACGTGAATATTTTGCACTGATTAATACATCCATGGGAACACTGGGTATGTTTGAAGTGGTTTGAATCCAAAGCCAAGTCCAGGCCTGTGTATTACCTTATATATATTGCCATCCATGATAAAGAATCTACAGTTTCTACTCTGTTCTTGTTCAGATCTTGTTCTTGTTCAAGTATGACTTGCCAAGAATAAGATAGCACAGATTTTGCTTTGATTTCCACTGCCATGCTGAGGAATTTTTATCTTTAAATTTCGCATATCAGGTTTTACTGATACTATCCGATGCACTGACAACATAACTTTCACAAAAAGAGTGAAGTTAATCTCACATTTTTGAAAACTGCTACATTTCTTAAGCTATTTCTTTGGCAATTGAGGCAGTAGCCTGGAATTGAGCAGTTTGAGTTCATAGAGGCTTACATGACTGTCTTCTTCAGTAGGAGCCTCATGGCTGTGCAAGCTTCTAGTTCTGTTTTCTGCTTTCAATCCAGAAATGTGTCAGCAGAACACAGTCGGCCATGGACAGGCTGGCTCAGAATTGTTCATGTTCTGCAAATACAACCTTGAATCTGTCCCAACTGTCTCCCAGTTCAATCCTGATCACTTTTCTCTCAACCAACATAAATTGAACTCCTTATATGTATCTATGCCAAAAAATGAGCTGCAGTTACTGAAGCAAAAAAATTTGTGAAAACAGTGAAAAGAACAAAGTTTAAAAAATGAAATGAAATCAGTCTTACCTGCCTCTCTTCTGCTTCCAGATTAGCATGCTAACCATAATCTAGAAGACAGTGTATCAAGTTAATAGTGTGTAGTTTTTACTGTTCTCTATTTGAGAATTGTCGTAATTGCGATGGCAATCAACATCTCCTGTGGGACTCCACCTCTTGCCTCATTTTGAAGACCACAGCTATTTGGCAGACTGAACCCAATAACTGTCTGGACGCAGTGGTTAATTTTGTTCAGTCAATTTCCACTCCTCACACCAAAATGCCCTCCTTCCCACAGGGCAGTCCCAGATCCCTTCAGCTGTGTCTAGAGGCTGAAGTATGTTGCCAAAGATTGTCAAAGACACTAGGAACTGCACAGTGCATGAGTTGCCTGCTGCAGCAGATGAGCTTTCACATGGCCAGGGAGAGCCATCACAGTCTCTAGGGCAGGGATGCCTTCATCTTTCCCACCAGTACAGCAGTCAGCGCTGCTCTGGGAGAGAAAAAACCTTCCTCCGTCTTACCTCAGCTCATGCTGCCTTTCTCCCCTTCTGCCATTCTCCCCTTCTACACTGTCGGGTCAGCAACCTGCAGGCAGTGCACGGGCTGCCCGTGCCTCCCCCGTAGCACAAAGCCACTAAGGACAGAGGTTGTGCCAAGGAAGGGACGCGGCATGAAGAGCCTCTTGTCCTCAAAGCCGGCAGCTCCCCTTGTGGGTGGCCTGAAAGGTGATGGGATACAGGGGAGCTTTTCAGTGGGACTTTTATGAATGTGCCAGTCTGGCATTTATAAACATCAATCATTTACAAGGCACATGAGCTACAGTGCTTTCTATTAGACTGCAGTGTGTTTTTATACAACATGTTAAAGAAAACACTGCCTTGTATCTGGATAAACCAATCTGCTGAGGGCAAATACAACTTTCTCATGAGATCTTTTAAATTCTTTTAGAGGTCTTAAAATAACCTTGAAGCAGGAATTCTTTCATTGTGTAAAACAGACATTAAATACCAATGTGAAAAGATGTATGTAGCTCTGACATGGACAAGCAGGGAAAAGGTTAGTTAACCTTTGCTGGGTCTTGTTTCACTGTGTTGTAGCTCAGCCGAAAGCACCGTCAATGCTTGTGATATGGTGTACTGGAGATTTGGGCTCACCCCTTCCAGCCTCGACCTGATTCTCCGTTCTGAATGTGGGCATTGACAGCAAATGGGAAATCCATTATGTCCCTCCTGTTTAAAGCTGGGAGCGGCAGGAGATGTACCTGTGTTTGGTTTGCAGGCCCTTGGGAGGAGGGATTGCCTTGGCAGGGAATGCTTCCACACAGAACAGAGTTGGAGAGACCACAGGGACTCCTGCCTTTTAAATGGATTGCAGTACAAGAAATCTGTATTTCCCAGTGCTTCTTTCACAGAACTCACCATCATGGGGTGTTCAGCTTCCTAGGAATAGGGAAATACCGTATTGTTTCCTCCAAATTCCTTTCATAAATACATATACACATACTGCCTGCGTTTTTTTCCTACTGTTTACTTGCTTTGAAGAGAAGCCTTCATTCTTTGACCACGGGCACTTTTCTAGTCCAGCAGTTCAACACATGTTTATGCAGTGAGCTCGTTTGGAACTTAACCTCACTCCTGCTTTGTGTTTTAGGCTTTCTTTTCTTTTTCTCTCTTTTTTTTAAGTCTGTTTGAACTAAGTTTCCCATGCTCTTTTTCCGTCTACATATTACTTTAGTGTGTGAGTGCTGGTCTTTTTTTCTGATAAACTCATGTTCTATTTCTAATGCAGTCTTATCTGACAAGATCCTATTCCTTTTATAGACCTACAGGAAATAACAATTTGCACTGAGGGAAAAAGCTGAAGGCAATCATGTGGACAGTGTCATCTCTAGACCCAGTGTTGTCATGGCACTGTGCTGTATGAGAGCAGTGATGGGATTCTTGGACATCAACCATACATCACTGCTTGTGATTTATATTAATACGTACTAATCTTTGCACTTGCTTTGGGTGTTTCTCTCCTTACAAAGCTCTCTCCTGCTTACGTTTTTTCCTTGACATGCTTTGTCTCTTTGCCTGCAAGCCTGGTCAGTCCCTTTTTGCACTGCACTTTTCAGCAGAGGCTGAGTGGTGAGGAATCCATCCACCTGCCTTTCAGCTCTTCATTGCCTGCCTCTGGGCTGCTGCCTGTTCCAGCAAAGCAAAGCTCTCCCACTTGAGGGAATGGATAGGTCTATAGAAGAATATTCTAGCTGCAGTTCAAATCAAGGACTAAAATCTGCAGCCATCTGTTTAGAACAGTTAAATAGATCAGCAGTCTCAAATGATATTTTGCATGAGTGAAGTTGGAGTGCATGTCAGAAAGGTGATTTTAGCATTAAGAGAATAAAGTTAAGTGTAACTTCAGGGCCTTCACTTTTATCACAAACACAGTCACATTTCTATGTGTCGGCCATGTGGGTTGTGGTCTGACATATCAGTGCAACAAAATCCAGAGTCCAATTTTCCAAACCTTTCTTAAGTGCAAGATCCAGACTTGTACCTGAATCAGTGCTTGAATTGCGTTTCTTCTCAGGAAACTGTAACTGAAACTCTTCTTTTGTGGATGTGTGGTATCCTCACATATTTCATCTTTCACACCAGTTCTACTCAAGCCCACCTTTTTTAGGAAATAAAACGTGCATCAAAATTTTAGGATACTACATATCTGCAATAAAAGGTTTCACCTATAACTTATAGAGCTGCATAAAATTGTCAAATCTCTCTTTTTTTTTTATTTTAATATAACAGTCCATATGGAATATTCAAAGAAATTAAAGAAAAGGCTTTGTGCTGTGTCAGTTACTGCCTGATAACTGATTCCTCTCTCCAGTTTCTCCTTGTAGCACAGACTGCTGCTTTGAGCTCAGCTTTATGGCTCAATGGTCATTTCGGTAGTAAAAATGTCCAGGTAATTCAGATGGTTACATGATGCTTCTATCATCCTTTTTTTTTTTTTTTTTCCCTTTGTCATCTTTTATGCATAGCTCTAAATGTTTAACACACGAAGTCAGTGCTTGTGGAAGATGCTGGATGAGCCCCTGGGGGCTGTGGGCGCTGGGCTCCAGGAGCTGGTGTAGGTGGGACAAGGGCGAGCAAGGCTTGGCTGTACCCACAGCACCAGCCCTCCTGGCCAGGCAGGTTTCTGCCTTTAGTGCTCCTGTAGGTTTTTAGGAATCCTTTCTGACGCATGGTTGGTGTCGTTCTGTAAGAATATGAGCACGTGTTTTGTGGGTTTTTTTCCTATTTTGACTCTGGTAGTTACTTGTTGGCTACAACTTGTTATTCAGACTGCAGGATTCTCAGCAGCATTCATGGGACAAAAAACAATTTCCAATCTGATATATTGAACTGCAGAGTTTAGAGACTTTAGGGAGCAAAGGAGGTTGTTCTGAATACTAGACAGCATGTCTGTATTAAGGCACTGACACCCACTCTCGACTCTGTCTCTCTGTATTCATAACTTGACTCTGCGTGTTAAAATTAGCCATAATTTTTTTCATTCATGCCAGAATTTCTTTGCACACCAGATGCCATGTACATCATCTTACTTTGGCTACGTATTAGAAATAATTACAAATTACAATATTTTCTCTACATTATCCTGTTGTTTTGTTGCTTGCTTTTTTTTTTTTTTTTTTTTTTTGTAACTTCCTCCATGGTTAGATGTACCCACAGAGTTTTGTTACTGGACTCTGCCCCTACACTCTCAGGAATAATCCTGTTATTCACCAGATCCAGTTCCAGCCCTCTTGCTGTCCCTGTAGATCACCTCTCCTTTGGCCAAGCCAGGGGCAGAACTGCCGCTTCGTATCTGCTCCTTGTTCTGATGGAGGCCTTGCTTGTTGAGGGTGGCAGTTCATCTGCAGCCATTGTGCTCTTCAAATACTGCAGCTTAGACCCTCCTGGTTCTTGGCATCTTCTTTTGTCTGTAAGGCTCTGGTTATTTCAAATCCATTTCACTTAAGTACTTTCAAAATGAATGCCCATTGCTTAGAAAATATTGCCCTCTTTTGTATAATGTAGCGAAAGATTTAATAGTGGGGAATTGATCTTCTGCATGCATGAGAAGTGTATGATCAGTAATTTTTCCATATACAATTGTATTCAGAAATTATACCAGCAGTGTAAGTACTGCAGCTGTTTGCAAGCACATTTACGTAACCATCAGATTGTCTGCAGTACAAATCCAGTGCTATTCAAAGCAGATCCCACTGTAGGAGCCAGCCTGTCTGTTAGTTGAAGGAGTGAAGCACTGGACTAAAATGCACCATCAAGTTTTGATTCCACCAAAAAGGAAAATAGGCAAAAAAAAAAAAAAAACAACAGCTATCATCAGTTTGTTCAAATTGCACACCACTTCATATTGGGATCAACAGCAGAATATCCTGAAAATCTATTTCTGAAGATTTCAATGCATTGCACGAGTTGAGTCTCCTTCCCTAAATGAAAATCATATATTGCCTCCGAATATGTAATGCATGACCTGCTTTTGATTTCCTTTGGAAATCCTTTGGATTGGACTTGTGGAATAAACACTGGAGACTTGACTTAACCTCATACATGACTGTAGGATTTACAGACATTGTAGGATAAACGGGAAGGCACGGACTCTCAGCAACCCCATGCATCTATAGCAGACCACAACTGGGGAAATGAGACACCATTTGCCCTGCTAAATAGTAACATATGTGGTTAAACTCTGAGGATCTTCTGTGTAACAATTTATGGTGTGAAATTACACTACACCAAGCCACTTGATTTTCAAAATATTTTTTATCAAATTCAGTCAAAATTAGCAAGTGACTTTACACTTGCTGATTATGAATATCCATGGAAAGTGTGAATGTGGCATAACTAATCCACACCGTGGTTTGGGATAACCTGCGGCAGCAGAACGGCCCTCACTGCTTTGCAAGAACTGTTTGCTGTATAATATCAGCACTTGATGCTTGTGATCTTTGTGAATGCTCAACAGGTTTTCATCAAGGAAGGATTTTGCTTTTGGTTAAAAATTCAAAAGCCCGTATTCCAGCTTGTCCAGCGGAGTCTGGGTCAGCTCCACAACGTGCTTCAGTGTAACTCTGCCTTTACAGGCCTCTGTGCACAGACAAAACAGAAAACCACAAGGCTGGGGACAGGAGAAAAGTGGGCTTTCCTCTTTACTCATTTCAGAGTGAGGATTTTCCCTTTTATCGCTATGAGGCTCCAGCATCCAACAACTTGCAAGAAATTCTGCCTGGAGTAGCCCAGTTAAAAAGAGGCTCAGGCAGCAAAAATGGTGACAGGCCATTATATCAAAATTAAAGGGGAAAAATAAAACGTGACAGTTGCAAAATGTGTTATGTAAAAAATTCTGTTAGTGTTTATAGATTTTATTTTTAAACGGTGTAAAATAAAAATAAAACTTGTGGGAAACGTTTCTTGGATTTAGTTTACATAAATATCTCTGCGTTGTTACAGTTGGTGTAGGGAGGGAACATGCAGCACAGCAATGATCTGTTGTTATTGTTGTTTACTCTAGTGAATGCAGAATAAGGAGGTCTGCTGCCAAAGACAAGGAAATGGTGTGTGTGGGATGCAAGTTCTTGCCGTGGGTGCTGGCTTTTGCTCTGAGCAGCATGGAGTGCTCTGCTGTCTGTGGGCTCCGTTTCCTGACCGCCTGTGGTAACATTTCAAAGCATACCACAGCAGTGGCAGTGGTCCCACAGGAATAATGCCTTGACGTGTTCTGAGAGGAAACCGTTCCATGTTTAATCCCCACCTGTGCGTTCCTCCCACACTGCGCTTTGTACGAAGGCCGATTTGTGGCCTGGTGGATGTGTCCTCGGGCAGGTTTCTGAAGGACCGTGCTGGGCACGTTTCTGTTGCAGTCTCATTACTTTGATAACTACCAAAGACGTCATAAACGTGGCATCAAAGTCATAGATATTTCTGTTGACAATGGAACGAGTGAAACTTTTTGCTACACAGAGACCTGGAAGCACAGCTCTCCCTGTCTGTGTGAGGGATGTTCAGGCACACGACAACACCTTTCCACAGGTTCAGTCAGCACTCAGTGTTCTCAGCAATCTTATTAAAGCTGACTCTCTGTAAAGGGCACAACCCGTACAATCCTTCTCCCCTTACTTCTTCATCTGCTGTCTTAGGAGGACCAACTAATCATTTCCCTTTGCTGTGCGCCATATATCTTTTATTTGCTTCCAAGTTTTGAACAAAACCATCAGTAAGCTACTGTCATGTTTTGCATATGGGATAATTCACTTACAAAGGAAAAGTTCTTACAGTTTCAAAGCAATGAATCCAAGACAATTTCCTTAGCAACTGACTTTAATTTGTATTTTCTTCATTCACGATGCAGTCTGGGTGACCAGAGTTGTTTTTAACATGTTTATATAACTGTCAAATGTGACTTTTTTTTCCAGATACCTGGAAGGAAACCACCTGACTGCTGTGCCGAAGGGACTCTCTGCCTTCAGGCACCTGACACTGATGTAAGATACGTGGCTCCAATGTCAAGAAACATAGATGACTCTTTCTGCACTGTTTTGTAGATGGAACATGTGAAATTAGTGTTTAGGGGGGGAAAAAACAAAACACAAAAAAACACAAACCTTCTGTAAATGGAATTGAAAAGGAGTTTAGCTGTAGCAGCTGCTGCCAGTGAACGTTCCTAAAGAGTGGAGAAAGAGCAAAGTGAAATGACTAAGGGCACCATGGACCCTTCCTCTGCAGGAGCTTCCAGCATCTGCTGCAGGACAAACCTCTTGTGAATGTGCTGCTGTACCACTTGGCAGATTTATCTGTGCAAAGCAGTAAAGGTCATTAACAGAGGAGACAGCATTAATTTGTCCTAGTTGAGGCAGTATTTATAGTGCTAAGTTAATGAAAATTTACATAGCTGTTTTTGCTATGGATAGTCATACAGATAGAGGCACAGCTAGAGTACACTGAGTAAATTGTTCCCTAAAATACACCGGAGCAAAATTTCTTAGCTGAAATATTTGTCAGAATTTTTTTTCAATCACCTGTAGGTACTCAAGTCAAATGGGCAGAATAATAACAGGCATATATATATATACTCCCTATATATGTTTTTCCAAATATATATAAATTTATATAAATATATATATATATATTTATATAAAATATTTCATTTGGAAACACCTCTAATTTTATTTTTCAAGGGAGAGCAACAACAAAATAAAATGCTCTGTTTGAGCCTAAATGACTATTTTGAAATGAACAATGCAATACCTTTTGTTTCTAGCTGAAGCAACGCAAACTCCTTTCCCATCTTTTATTTTGTGAATTTATTCCGAAGTGCGCATTCTTTTTACGCAGGGTTGTTCTAGTAGCTGTCAATGTTAAGAGCATAAGGAAATGGTATGTCTGTAATAAATTGAAAAGCAAACTGGTACAGCAAATATTCACCCATGCTTGTATTACCTATTAATTTATCCTTCTCTGAAAATTTTGCTTTTACTGTTGTTTTTGTTGTTGTTGTTGGAATGCTGTGTGCTAGAAATATGCCTTACTGAAAAGTCCAAGGCTTTTGTTGAGAAAATGTTCTGATGTGACTTGCTTTTAGAGCTTAGTCCAAGTCGGTTAGAAAATATTATATCATTTGCTAACATGTGACTTCTCCATTGCCTCAATCATTTTGCTGTGAACATATTATGTAACCTCCAAAAAAGACATGTATCTCTAAAGTCGTACATATAAATGATATTTTCTTTATGTATTCCTTCAGTGATTTGAGCAACAACAGCATAAGTGTATTGGCCAATTATACCTTCAGCAACATGACCCAGTTATCAACACTGTAAGTAGCCCAATGTTTTTGAAATTTGAATTGCTTTTCAGATGCCAACCTAGATGTTAAACAGTTAATATATACCCTGTGACTCAAGCATGTGGCTTGAGTAAAAGTGGAATGATCCAAGAAAATACAGTGTTGTAACTGTGTTCTCTCATTCTCACAGCATCTTGAGCTACAATAGACTTCGGTGCATTCCAGTCCACGCGTTCAATGGGCTCAGGTCTCTTAGAGTGCTGTAAGTATCATTTTTTCAGTGCAGCTGAGTTGCAGTTTATTAGGATGCTGTTGATGGCAGGGAGGTTTTTAATGAGCAGATGGCTTTCACTTGATTCAGTAGTCATAAATATTTTCATGCAATTAGCTTCAGTGTACTTGTACTTAGGTGCAATATGTCCAGTAATGACTAGAGCAGGTGAACTCTAAACCTTGAAAAGAAGCAGTTACATTTTTGCAGGATGAATGACTTTTCTCTGATAGGTCAGGGACAAGAACTATCATGAAAACAGGCTTCCAAGAGGCTGCAGAGAGTCTGTCTTTCAAAAGTGTTGAGAATCGATCATGTTTTAGAGTGTAAATTTGCATTAGATGCAAGAGCAAATGCTAGTGGAGGAAGTTTCACCTCATGGTGACAGGAGTGTGGGTGCATTTCAAAATGTACACGTGTGCTTTCTTTCTTTGGAGATCTTTTTCTCCTCTCTTCTTTTCTAGCGTAGCTGCTTTCAGCAGCTTTTTGTGGATTGAGCAATCTGCTTATAGTCTCCTCTGAAAGTTATCTTCTTTCCATGGTCTTTGAGTGTTGGCTGTGGGCCTGTTCCTTACAGAAAGCAGCCCTCCACTGCTTTTCTTAGGTATCTGCTAGAATAACTCCCACTTCTGTCTTCTTTTTACTGACGTCCCCATCTGCCTATCAGAAGCTCACCCCGAGTTCGCTTTGCTTGGTTCTTTGTGTGGCTCTGTGACACCGTGCACAGGTATTGGGACAAGGTGGAGAAACCACCATCCTCCCCACTGCCCAGCAAAACAAGTGGGTTATCATTACTTGTATGATAACCTGGAAGCAAAAAATTTAGATTGTTCATCTGTGATGAGATTATTTGGAGTGCTAGAGGGGAAAGATTTGAACACTGCATGGCCCAGAGGAGTTGCATAGTATGTCCCAAGTGCTTTGAAACTTCTTTTTTTAAGTTAGGTTTCATTTGCATACAGAAGCTTCTGTGAATTTAAAGAGCAATAGCTACTGTGCATTGAGTCCCAAAGTGTGGAATCAAGCTGTTAACATGGGAGGTACCACAACTGGAGAAGATACAGGGCAGTGCCCAGCAGGGCTCTTATACTGTGGTATAAGTGGTAAAATACATATCTAGGTTTCAGAGAGACAGATTTAGATTACCAGCTTTCATTGTTAAAAACAAGAAAGAGACGTGGTTTGGATTTGTTATTTTAAGTTTGGCTTGGGACTCTGATTTCTACTACTGCAATAGGATGGTCACATTTGAGCTGTTACATGAATTCTGAAATTCAGCCACACATGAATATATTCAGTTTCATGGCCAAATAAATTATTCCATATGGAGCTATCTTCTGGCTTGCTTCTTATATGCAAGCTAGCTTGATTAAAGCTAGCTTGGGATTCTCTACAACAAATTGGAGTGTAGATATACCCTGCCTCAATCTTTCCGATAGCTACAGTTTATCTTTTCACTTCCACTCTTGCAGACCACATATGGACAGAAACAAAGGGCATTATTTTGAGTATCAGCTGTAATCTTTTGGCTTTCTTAAGTGATCTAGTAATCAAATTGCAAAATATCTTCCTTCTCCAAGGGAAAAGCCCTGCTTGTCTTGCACAGAGCAGCGTGAGTGAAATGAAGCCTGAATGGGAATCTCTGAATGCTCATTGCATTTGGAAGCCTCCTGATTGATTTGATTTATTATGGCCCACAAAATTCTGGTATCAGCTACAACTTTTGCCACATGTCATCTACATTGTTATTAAAAATCGATTCTCCAGGGGGAAAATGGGCTTCCGAGTGATAGAGTGCAATCTGTTACTGTCAGTTATTTATTATCCATATTCTCAAATGAATGTAAAAGAGAAAACATCAGCAATACAATTTTCACATTTTAATTTTTTTTTTTAATAAAAAGAATATAGATATCTCAATACCTTTGGCAGTGCTTGCCTTTGAAAGTTAACATGACCTTCTCATACAGACCTCAGTGTCTTCCAAATGCCTCATGTTTTCTTTACTTTTTGACTCTCTGCACTAAGTAAAATAAATACATATTTGAAAATCAGACTAATCATAGAGGTATGATGAAAGTGATCTCTGACTGATATCGGGTTCTGTCCTCTGTCTCTTACACTTTTCAGCTCAAGCCCAGCTGAGAAAAGGGCACAGTCAAAATGTTTATGTTTAAGCCTGAATATATATCAGTGTTTACATAGTCACGTCTTCAGTCTTTGCCTGGCTGATCCATAATGGCATCCAGAGTGTGCTGAGGGGCAATTTCAACATTTAAATTTTTTTGTTTTTTTTTAAAAGGAAAAGTTTATATCAGAGTTTTTTTCCACCAAAACTATTGCAATGAAAATTTGTGATTTTCTTCTCCAAAACTAAAGAAGCTTAATATTAATAGGTTTTAAAAGCTGAGAGATTGAAACAGGGGAATTATAAATGTTAGAAGTTTCTGTTTGTCCTGCACTGATTATTTTTATTGTTTGACAGTGCTGTAACTTACAATATTTTGTCTCTGTTTAATTAGGAAGGAAAGTCCAAAAACAGAAATACTTTATCAGATCACAAAACAATTTTCCATGTTGTATTCATGGAAAAATTTCTACATGAGCTACAAAATATTCTACTAAAATGAGATGTTTCAGTTTTACTGAAAAATGATGGATTGTTTACTGGAGTTCAAGAGCTCACATTTATTTAGAAAAGTGCTGTATTTCAGAGCTCACATAAGCACAGTAATATATGTGGTGAGAAAGCTGCTGCACATACTCTTCAGACAAAACCTTGGAACCAATTTTTGCAATATACTTCTGTGTTGGATGTTTCAGAGTTGACCTAAGAGAAATATTAATTGCCTTTATTGTTGTTTGGGTTTTTTTGCATCGCAGAATGACTGTTTGTAGCTATTCTGCAAGTTCAGCCAAGCTTTTAGCCAAATTACTGTCTTTATAGAGTAGATTATTTTTTACTAAAAAAGTATGTTTATAGTTACCTAATGTTACCAGACAGCAGGTTGGGAGTAGGACTGGGGGACAGCTGGCATTTTGTTGTTGCTGTTGTGGTTTTTTTGAAGAACAAACAAAAAACAAACCAAAACAGAAACCCATAAGGATATGCTTAGTTCATTCCTTTATCTCAAGACTCAGAAATAAATTAGATTACAGAAAGAAGAAAGTTTTTGTTGGAGGAATTCGGATGTTCCGTAATTGTATTCTGAAAGGAGACCACCATCACCTTACATTCACACTCTTATGTTTACTGATGTTTAGACAATGAGATAACTGGAAGTTGTGCCTTTGGGGGTGAATGCATGCATGCATGTGCTTTAACTTTCCAAATGTTTGGGATTTTAATCAAGCTTTTGCTCAGGTAGAAAAATGTTTGTGTTGTTGATCCAACAGGAAAAAAAAATCATTGTTCTGCTGACCTCTCCTGTCACTGTTTTATAATGAGGTTCTTACAGCTTTTTAGCTATAATTTATCATTTCAGTTTAGCTGTATGGGTGGAGGTACTGCTGACATCATTTTTTCATTAAAATGCTGTCAGTGGCATCCATGCAGCATACCTCAGTGTTTGAGGTATGCAGTGAAGCCCTTCATTAAACATGGGTTTATGTTTTTGATGGTTTTTACTTTCTTATAGATAAATGACTTTGTCATTCTTAAGCTTCTCTTGGAAAAGGATTCCAAGACATTTTGTTTAGGAAGGCAAATACACGCATTCACAGAATAAAGGCAACTGATACGATGTGAGGATAAACTGAAGTTCTGCTCTCTGTTCAGAGGGCACTTGCACATCTTTAAGTATAAAATATCAGAACGTAAGTTCATTATAAGATTCTTATTTGAATGAAGGAGGGTGCATTTTTCTGATAATTTCTTGACCAGGCCTGATCTTTCATCCTCCACCAACATATCAGAGCTGTTTGGGTATGGCTTTGCCATTGTTCATTCTGTTCAGAATTGGAGAGCGTGCTTTATCTGGAGTTCCTGTGTGGATGAATTACTTGGAGATCCATCCTTACTTACACACACCAAGCATTACTAATAATAGCCAAGCTAGATCTGCTTAGAAGAAATTCAGAATGATGGAAAGGGAAGCTTTTGGTACTCTTGTGGCAAGAGCTGTAAAAAACATCCCAGCAGGACAACTGTGCTGTAGCTTTTGCAGTTTCATGCCCCATAGAAAAATTTTGCATTAGAATAAGAAATAGAAACTGCAGCTGCAGTGTGCTGCTGGGAAACGTGATCGTGGTAATATTGCTTATGGGCACATAACTCACAGCCTCCACAGCAGGGCCCAGGCTTCCAGAACACAGGACAAGGGGCATCTTCCCCTGGGGAGCATGGCCTTCCTCACTGTGTGTGTGTTGGTGGAAGGCAGCATGGAAAGATTACATTGATAAAAGTTCTAAGGCATAAATCCCGTAGATCCTGATGAGGTTCACAGTGGTATTAGGGTGCAGAAAGGAAAAAAGGATGCAAAAAGAGATGCTTTTATTTTCATTTGGGGCTATTGTGTGTAGGAAAAGGCCCAGATATTTGGCCTTTTCACCATTTCAAGCATCTGTACTGTCAAAAAATTCAAGATCACCAGGCAAACTCGAGAACTTGAGGGAAATTGCTGCTACAAACCTGACACACACCAGATTTCTATGTTCTGCCCTCTTCTGCCACATCTAGAGCATATATGGTACTGGTACTGCTGGGAAAGAGGATGTAAAGCATACAGGAGTTTGCTATCAGTGATGCAGGTCAGGGGAGAATTGCAAAATAAATAAATAAATAAATTAAAACATTGATGTGATTTTCTTTTGCATTTTCTCTGCCAACTTTAGTTTGAGAAAAGGCTATTGAGATCCAGAGACACTGACTCCTTATGAGTGCTTTCTATTACTGTTTGAAGTATTAAGCTTCCAGGCAGTAACATATGAAATAGAAAAGTTACATAAATGTTACTGTATGCTTTATTTGGCCAGATAATTATCTAGTAAAGCAGAGGATGAGCAGTTAAACAGTTGTTTCTATTTATGTAAAAGACAAAATTCTTCTCTGGTGCACTTTCTAGATAGTTATTATATAACTATCACCTCCAGCATCCACTCCCCTCCTGCAGTCTATCATAACCATCTATTCATGCTTGCCTGTGTAACATATCCACAAATGTATTTCTTAGAAAAGAGATAAAGTGTCTGCTGAAATTGTCCTGGAAGCAGTGGAGAACATTTTCACAAAGGTCCTGAAAGCCTTGATGAGAAAATATTTGTTTCTTTATTTAGGATTAATGGTGCCCTAAAACAACTAATTTCAAGTATTTTCGCTGGTAACATAAATATATTTGTCAAGTGGATTTTTAAAATACCACACAAGAAAGGCATTTCCAAATATAAGAGTGGAAAACTCGAATGTGAAAGTGCAGATATATTCGCCCTCATGGATCTTTGCTCTCTCCTAAGGTTTCTCTGAAGTCAGTATTTAATTTCTTGTTTTCCCTCTTCTGTTTTCTTTGTGTTTCCAGCTAATGGGATTCTATAAAAGAATTACAGGTCTGTATGTGAGGGTCTGTTTGTCATCAATACACTTTTAATAGCATAGTGTATCACCTTTTTAATTTAAAACATTAGTCACCAACAGTTCTGATCGTATCATTGCTTTAAATGTCAACATCTAGAAGCAGCATGGAAGCTTGTGAGTTGTGAAGCTTGTAGAAACTCACAAGGAGGGAAAATCGAGTACCATTCTTAAGCACCAGTTCCCTCACTTCTGAGCAGCAGACCACACTGTGATACCTTCCTGCTTCTCCACTCTTCTAGGACGCTCCATGGGAATGATATTTCCAGTGTTCCCGAAGGTTCCTTCAACGACCTGGTGTCCCTGTCCCATCTGTAAGTACTTCTGTGTTCTTCAGTTTCGGACTTATAAAACACTGCAGCTATTACAAATTTATGATTGTGTAACTGTCCTGTTCTTCCTGCGTACTTTCTGTATTCTGCTCTGGATATTCATAGAGCAAATGTTCAAAGGAAATAAAATAAATATAAGAACCTGTTGTTATTAGTTACCAAAATATTTTCTTAAGGAAAACCAAATGAGCAAATGTGACGATTTCCTCTTCTTGTGTGGACTTTGTGTTTAAGGTTTTTTCAGCATTGTCTAAGAGAAATGCAGAGTGTGTTATGGTCTGAGACAGAGACAGGAAACCTCCCACAAAGAGCAAATATTAAGCAAATGTAAATACAGTGCTTAATAAGTGTCATATGTTTTGCATACTGAAATGCTGTCAGTATATGAATTTGATGAATCACTACCTCAGACAATATATATTTAATCATAGGGAAATACCTCAAATCACAGTATTAATACTCGTAATTTGTACAAAATAATTAAAAGTTATTAAAAGCTTCAGGTATTTCAAGAGATGATTTGGATTAGTGGAGGTCTGGGATCTTTTTAAACACAACTCAATTGATGAAAGAACTGTAGAAGACAAACAGCTGTAATAGTTACGAAACAAACCTGGAGTTTCACAGTCAGTGCCAAAATAGCGAGCAGAAAATGTTTGCTGAGATGATGTGTGATATTACACATGATGCATGTGCATGTGTACATTTAACATAATTTTGTATCTGTTTCTTAAACTTTAAACATTCCCTCCAGAAAACTTACTGAATACAACAGCACTGTTATCCAGAAAATGTGCAAAACACAAATATTTATGGGATAGCAAATTTGTCCTTGGGCTGTGATTTCCGAGCAAAGCTTTCTATCTCAGTCTTTTTATAGACAAAGAAGAATAAACATATCTCAGATTGGTACAGACAGAAGTAATGTATGAGCAATTTAGGGAATTTCAGCTGCAACTGGGAAATAAATTCCCTGTTTTGAACTTACACCTTGGCATCTTAGTCAAGGAAAATACTCTTCTTGCACAAAATGTATTTCACTGTCATGTTCCCAGCATAGTAAAGTCATTTTCTGTGTTGTTTTGGAGTGAAAGTCTGACAGAGCCGAAGCTCCGAATCACCTTTTGGAATGCAGTGACACCTTCCATACAGGGAGTCTGGCTTCTGAGAGTATTTTTAGAATGCATGAGATAAACGTATCGTGCCCCATTTGTTTGGACTTTCCTCAGGGTTCACTTTAAATGAAGTGCAGACACAGTTTTCCTGGGTAAACCATTCACCTTGGGGAGCGATAAAAACCTCTTTGGTCCAATACAGTCACTGCAGTCTGTCTGTTTAGATGTATGTGCTGCCAGAAATGTAAAACACACAAAACACAAATGAACAGTAATAAATAGGATCCATAAAATAAATAAGACCTGTCTGGGATGTATTTTGCACAGCTGAACAATTTAATTTTACAGGACAGTTGTGCTCTCCAATTTCTTAAAGAGGATGCGGTGTGATGATCTGAAACCTTCAGCAACTGCAGTGATCTTGCTAGATGTTAGGCTTTTCACAAGCCAGAAAAGGCTGTGCTTATTCAAACAAAATCATATAGATTTGCAAATAAATTGTTTTTGAGTTCTCCTGATACCTAGATCTTTGAGTAGAAAGAATGTGCTTGGAATAATTTCTATATGGTATGAGAAGCTGCTACAAACTTGTAACTCCAGGAGAAAAAAACCTGATGTTAAATGTAGCTGTATGGATGTGGGTAGGACAGGTATGAAGGAAGCTGACTAGCAGGGAAATAAGCTGGATATTTTTCTAGAAGAGACAGAAGTATAGGTTTAGTCAGCCTTTTGTAGTAGATTTTAAATGGTTTGCAATTGGAAGAACAAAACTGGCATCTAGATACTTTAATCACTTTTTCCAGTGCTTCCAGAAGATAACCACTGAATTTCCTTTATGTTGTAAATATATTATCTGAATGTAGCTGTTATGACAAACTGTAACCTAAACCTCACTAAAAACAGAGAAAAGTTTAAATGTGATATTACCATACACACTGTTCTGTTTGAATTTACAACTTTATTTACTTGGATCACATAATTACTTGTCTATTTAAGCCATGACTCTGCTGATTTGTTTAGTCCAGGGTAATGATGAAAATGTTAAAGCACTAGTGAAGAATCATGTACATTAGGATCTAAAAAGAACTCAAAATCTGCTGGGGCAAAACTGAGAACTGCTCAGTTAGGTCAGTTCCCACATATGCTGTCCTCTCATCTTTGCCCATTTGGTGTTATACACAGCTCCATAGCCAGTTTGATTTGCCAAATACTGCCATGCTCCAGGGATCTCACAAAGAAACTCTTCTTAATTGTGTACAGCAGGTCTTTTTCTCGGACATGTTACTGATAAACAGCTCAGATTCCTGATTCTGTTGAATCATCTTGCCTTTACTCAGTAGCTGTGTTAGTTATCAAGAAATGAACTCAAATGAAATAAGCAGTCCTCCCATGGCACTCTGTATCTTTGCATTATCTTAGCTAGTTATTCATAAAATAATAGAATGGCTTGGTTGGAAGGGACCATAAAGACACTCTATGTCCAGCTCCAATCCCTTGCTGCGGCTGGTTGCCACCCAAAAGATCAGGCTGCCCAGGGCCCCATCCAGCCCAGCCCGAATGCCTCCTGGGATCTGGCACCCATAGCTTCTGTGGGCTGTCTGTGCCAATGCCTCACTGCTGTCTGAGTATAAAATTCCCCCCTTAACATCTGATCTAAATCTCCCCTCTTTTATTTTAAAGCCAGTTTTCCTTATCCTGTCACTATCAGATAATGTGAAATATTGGTCTCCCTCCTGTTTCATAAGCTCCCTTCAAGTACTGGAAGGCCATAATGAGGTCTCCCTGGAGCCTTCTCTTCTCCAAGCTTAACAAGCCCAGCTCCTTCAACCTTTCTTTGTAAGAGAGGCACTCCCGTCCGCAGATTTTAATTGAATTTATTATAAGTTCAAAAAAGTTGGCTGAACAGAAATATTTGCACCATGTTTTGAAAATGCTGCTGGAGATATTTTTACCTTCATCAGATAGTGTGGCAGAGCAGGCAAAGAAATAGTCAGAGCAGATGAATGAGAATACAGTAATTCACAACAGATCTGAAGTATGGGAAAAAAATTTACAGAAAGATACGTGCAATAATTTATGTTGTTTTACAGTGATGTTATTGGTAATCGGTTCTAGTGACTGTAGGGCAACTTTATTTCCAATGTACTTTATGAAGATTAATTAACACAGGTAACAGGGCTTCAATTATCATCCCACTGCTGTTTTTTATATTGTGCTTGCTCAGCGCTGAAGTTAATTTCTAAGTCCAAGTTTCACTGCTGTATTTTGTTTGACCTTGGACAAGTGAGCCGGTTGATCACAGTTACAGGGTCAAAAAGTCAAATGAGTAGTTTTTTTCCCATAGTAAGCAATAGAATCACAGAAGGAATGGATAGATATTTTTTAATACTGTGCTTTAGTACGCATTTAATTTTGATGAATGAGCCCTAGACAGAGTTTGAACCTATGAACCTTCATTATGAATCTGTCTAGGGCACAGTGGGTTCATTAGTCACTCCAATAGAAATGTATCAACAAACTTACTGAGGTTTTTATCGTAATATCCTGTCTGATATTTTTATTTGAAAGAAGATTATGTTTAAAATACCGTATTAAATATTGTTTTTAACATATGTAAAGTCTAAAACGCAGTTTGAATTATTGGTTCCTTAAGTATCTTTTCCACATGCTGATCTGTAACTATTTAGTTAATTATTTTCCTATTGCAGTTCAGGTGTTGCACAGTTAAAGCCTTTCAGCAAAATAAATGCAGTCTTCCATCATACATTTCTTCACACGTCCAGAAATTAGTAGTTTCTAGCCTGAGATAGACTCACTGCTTAAAATGACACTTGAGAAAAAAATAGTCTCAATGAGTCAAGACGGCACCTAAATTTAAGGTAGAAAGGTTTTTGTGTTTTGATTTTTTTTTTTTCTTTTGGATGTATCTCCATTCATAATGAAAAAGTTTTGTGAATTATAATTGCACTATTTGAACGCATCTGCTTCAACCATGCGACGTCACTCAAGAGATGGGCTAACCTGCAGATGTGTTTTCAAGGCCGTAAACAAGCTTCACAGACACCAGGTTGCAGTTTTGAAAATAGGGGTATCCTCTGTATGCATGACTCATCCAGTGAGTCATCGGATCCAAGCTAAATAACACAGTTCACTGGCTCATGAAGGTCAAAGAGTTAAATAAAAGAAACCAACCTGTAAAATTATGTGGATGTAATATATGTCTCTCAACATTTCTCAAGCACAAGTTTTTGAAAAAGTGATTTGTTGTTTGAAAAGGTGATTTGTTGTTAAGTATTTATACAAACTCCGTAACTAATGATGGAAAGGAAGAGGAGGAGGAATACTGGGGGAGATAATTCTAGGGGACTTTCTGACTATTCAGAAGATTTATTTCACAGATTTTGAAATAAAGCATTCTGGTACAAATGTACTTCATTGAGATAAGGGATGTTATCTTTAATTGCAAACCCAAATAACTGCTGTTTGTTTGGTTTTTTACTACTAGGGCTCTAGGTACCAACCCTTTACACTGCGACTGCAACCTCCGCTGGCTTTCCGAGTGGGTGAAGGCAGGGTACAAAGAGCCAGGAATAGCCCGCTGCAGCGGGCCAGAAGCCATGGTGGACAGGCTGCTGCTCACAACACCAACTCACCACTTCCAGTGCAAAGGTAGGCGCAAGCAAACTGCTGTTTCCTATTGCTTTTCCTAGTATACATCTCTTTGTTATCATACTCTCGCAAGCTGCTTGGCATTAAAGTGAGCTTGGGAGGAGTTGCTTGGCTTTCATTTACTGAAGCATCAGACTGCATTCAAGTAGCATTTTGAAGTGTTCTTCCATAGTTCAGTTAACTGCACCATGGGAAAGAAAAACAGCGAACCTCCAAAAAGTTAGTACTGCTGCTGTTGGCACCAGATTATGTAGGAGCAAATTAGCATAGAGGATATTGTGGGTTAGTTGAACAAATAAACTGTTATTGGCTTTCTACCTACAACTTTGGTAAAATAAGGGACATTTTAAAATATAGACTTCTCTAGTTTTTATGTACATACATTTGAAAACTAAGAATTCAGGTTGTTGTACTAGAGCAGATATTTACCAAAATTGTATTTTTATTTGAGGATACACAGACAACTTTATGTCCTCAGCAGCTCTGTATCAGAAACTTTATATTATGGAAAATCTTTAATGTCTGAATTTAGTGTACTTTCAGGAGAGCGCTGAGGTGCAGCTGTTAGCAATTAAGTGTAGTCATGGACAGGATTACTGCGCATTAGGGAGCAGTCAGTAAAAGATAAGGAGTACATTTTCTTGTGAAGAAAGTAAATAGTATATTGTTGAATGTAGAGTAGGTAAGACTCATATTCTTATTATAAAGGGAGCTTTGGAAGTTTGCACAGGTTGCCATCAAGTATATGAATATCAGAGAATCACAGAATATGCTGAGTTGGAAGGGACACACATTGCTCATCGAGTGCAGCCGCTGCCTCCACACAGAACCACCCAAATCCGACGGCAGCTCGGAGCCATGCCCACCACCATGGGAGCTGGAGCACGCCCAACATCCTCTGGGCAGAGCCTTTCCCTCACCCCCACCCATCCCTCCCCTGACAGCCGTTCCCTGGACCCTGTCACTGTCACACAGAACAGAGCTCAGCGCTGCCCTCCGCTCCCTGTGAGGAGCCACAGCCGCCATCAGGCCTCCCCTCAGCCTGCTCTGCTCTGGGCTGAGCAAACACAACGCTCTTGGCCACTCCTCACACACCGTGCCCACAGACCCTTCCACATCTTTGCAGCCCTCCTTGGGCCACTATGTAATAGCTTTACATCCTTGTGTTGTGGCACTCAGACTGCACTCAGCGCTCGAGGTGAGGACACTCCAGCACAGAGCAGAGCAGGAAGACATTTTCTTACTGTCCCACAGGCTGTCAGTCCGGTGTGTGTTGTCAACATTGATTAATACTGATTGCTTCAGAGGAAAGTTGAAGTATCCTCATAATGGACAATGCTGGAACGAACCAAGTTGTAGTCAAAGAAATTTCAAAGAATCTGCATATCCACTAGTGGGTTTGGATCACAGGTTGTCAAGCCTGAGGTCAATTTTACGGCCTTTTAGATGTATTTTTAATAAGTGTAAACTTTTATAATTTAATTACTTTGAAACATCAGTCTCAAAACTATCAGAACTCTGACTACAATCATCATAACTGCAGGTTTTATAATGGTCCCTAAAATGTGAAATGCAATTATTCCCTAAATGTTAAAAATACCAAATAATGTACTTGTTCACACTAAGTCAAACAAAGAAGATGATTGTGTGAAACAAGTTTAATGCAACAGGAAAAGGCCAATGAATTTTTCATTTTGAAAATGTCGTGTATCAGTAATTAGATTCACTTTCGCTCTAAACAAAACATGCAGAAGATAAGTGAGTCCACGATTCTGACTGTTCAAATAGCTGTATCGTTTTTATATAAATATTAGTTAGGTCCACCAGAAAGCTGTTGGGCTTTCTGCTGGCCTGGCTGTCTCCATCACTGGCTTTATCTCAATAGGAAAGGAGAAAAAAGTGTTGTTTCAGAGGCAGTCTTTGTACAGACAGATGTTGTTGATAGTCTGAATGAGTTTCAGTATACTGAAGCTCCACGCCCTAGTAAAATTCACCCTTTTTCAACACAATGCATGTATTTTGAAAAGCAATTCACGATTTTGTAATCTGATAGCAACTGAACCCATTTCCCATGTGCACATTTAATATTGTACTCTTCATGCTGTTCCATTGGGACACCAGTGATATTCATTAGTGGTAAAGTGACAAAATTTATTACAGTGTGAAGCACACATTTACCCTTGGACTGGGGATATTTACCCTGCGCCCCATGACAGGGATGGTGCATCCTCAGTTCATACTGCAGCTGCATGGCTTTCTCAGCTACAAATGCTGAGCTGTAGCTGTGGCACGAGCCTGTGGCAGCAGAATGACACTATCTGTGGGATAACACAGATTGTCCAACGATACGTCCATACTTCTGACTGGGTGGATTCAGTCCTTTCCCCAGCATTGCTCAGATTGGGCTCAGTGGGGGCCGAAGTGTCACTCACCTCAAAAACGCCTGGGTCATTGCTGCAAGTGTCATCACACACTGAGCTCAGGACCTCGATGTGCTAAAGGTTGTGCACAGATATCCTCTGTGGCCTCCAGTAACTTTTAAATTTATATGTATACACATATAAGTAGTTTAACAAACTCTTGTTAGAATCACGTTTTTAGCGTGTGACTGAGCAGAAGGTTACGTCTCAGCAGAGCCAAGAAAATAAAAGCATGTAATGTGGAAGTCATGCAGACCCATCTCTGCTTTTTATTAAATTGCCCTCTTAGTGATGCAGTAGAGGAAAGGAATGTGCTAGGCTGAGGGCGTTTTGCTGTATGAACTTATAAACCAAATCCCCAAGGACAAACTAATGAACTACTTAAGTGCTAGGACCTAACAGCGTTCTTATTAGCTCCTGTATTGATTAGCTTTGATCTGTGCCATAGGAATAACTGGAAAATGTACATTTGTGTATTATAAAATAAATAAATAATGAGTTCTGGCTCAATAACCTCCAAATCAAGTTGAAGAACAACACTGCTGTCTCTCCTGAACACCCTGCACAGCCACCTGTGTGCGTTCTGGGAGGAGCCAAAGGATAGCGGCTCACATTTGTTGCACTTCACCAACAAGAGTGTCAGAAATCCAAATGCTATTTCCTCTTCCTGTTCTAACTCCAAGTTAAAAATGCATGACATTTAGTTAGACATAAAACCCAAAGATAGAAGAGGAAGACAACCAACTTTTTTTTCCATTTTTTTTATTCGTTACTTCTTGTTTATTTTTATATTATGTTGCGTTTTGCTCTTCAATTAACTGTGCTGCTTTTATTAGCCATGTGGACCCTGCCATCATTATGAGATCAGGATATAGCCTTTATACAGCAGGCACTTTTCAGCTGAGACTCCTTGGTACTGATTTCTCTGATGTTCTTAACCCACTGTTGGTGCCATGCTGGTATTCAAAGTGAATAATGTGGGTTTGTATCTCACAGACGACAGCCCAAAGCAAATTCTTGACTGAAAGGGAAATCTTTTCAACTTTGATCTTTGTAACCCTCTACAGCTCTACCTACTTACCTACTCTCTAATGTCAGATGTAAGCTTATATTCTCCACATTGAGAATGCATCACAACTTCCTTCTGCTTATCTCTTATCGTTCAGTAACAGAAAGGCTGTGTCCACTCCGGATCACACAGGACCAATTTTAAGAGATTTTAAAATGTATTACCTTAAAAATGAGATAAAGTTATTTTAGGTCCTTTACTGTCGGATATAATGGAAACCCCTTTGAAGTGCTCAGCTTTATTTTTTTATGTGTAAAAGCTGTTAACTCATTAATACTTGAAATTTAGCCACTAAAAAATCACCATTTTCTTAACCATAAACTTAACAGTCTGAATTAACTTTCTGTAACATATCAACAATAAAATATTTGTTGATTTAGTATCCCAAATTATTTGATATTGTTTTGGTCTGTGTTCAGCTTCTTGATTGTCCACAAGTATCACCAATCTCTTAAAAAATACCGTTTATTACAAGTTTTAAAAATGGGCATGCATGCATTTACGTATTTGTGTGTTTAACTTTGTTGCACTTTGCCAAGGTGTCTGAATGTTTATGATCTTTCTTCTGGGTAGAACAGGAGGAAAATAAGTTTTAAACTCTATTAAAACTAAGGATGGTAGAAGATTTTGCACCTAAACAGTCCCATAAGCCTCTAACTGAATCTTTCTTACGCATGTTTTTCATTTCTACTGTTGCATCTGCACTTTCATTCTTGTTACCAGCCATAGAAATGACATGTTATGGTTCCCTAGGGATTGCTGTTGCAGAATTTCCAGCACTAAGAGAAGGAAAAATTGCTGAAAGCCATATATATAAGCCCATTCTCTGGAGATTGCCAGTGTGTTTTTTCAGAGCTGATGTTTCCATGTGTAGGAGAATATAAGCAATGTTGAGAGTTACCCAGCTCTTGATTTAAGTACTTAAAATCTTCATAATCCCTGAGAATCCCTCATGCTGTTGTGTAAGTTTGCACCCACAGCATGTGCATGTGTACCAACACAGGGTGAATCCTACATTAGGGAAAAATGTGAGCATGGGAAGTATTAATTTTGTAATCCAGTTCTCTCTTTTTGCCCTTCCAGAGCCGGTAGATATCAGCGTTGTGTCCAAGTGTAACCCCTGCCTCTCCAATCCATGTAAGAACAATGGGACATGCAGCAATGATCCAGTGGAGTTTTATCAGTGCACCTGCCCTTTTGGCTTCAAGGTATGACTGCAAATGAACGACATGAAAAGCAATAAAGCATTCTTCATCCCTTCTGCTATCTAATTGTTGTACCATGAGAAGTCAATTTTACAGGCAACTGAGTTCAACAGATGCCTTACTCAAACAGATTGTGTGTGACCTTTCAACTGTTCTCCAGATTTTTATCCTGTGTAATAGGAAAGGCATTTCTTTCTCCTTGTGCCATGACTGTACAGATGTACCATGACCAATATGCTCTAGCTGACCTTGCTTTGAGCATGACTACATGACCTCCAGAGGTTCCTTCCAACCTTGGGCATTCTCTGGTTCTGTGATGTAGATATCCATATGAAATGGCCAGTTGATTTTATCTTCCTTTTCTTTATTTGCAAACACCAAGATAACTGTTTCATAGGCTGCCATGCTAAAGGGAATGCAGTTCAGATGAGAATTAAGGACCAGTTTCATGCAGTGACAGGATGGGCTACTTGCTAGCTTGCATCCATCTCACACAGACTGATTAGCAATAAAGTTGTAATTGATCAGAGACGTTGCCACAAGCTCCACTGTCTCTGACTTCTGAGTACTGTGTGTAAACTGATCTGAAAATGTAGAATTCTGTAGGTGGAATTCTGTAGATGTGGTGTTGTGAGTGTGCAGTGTCAGTTTCTAGATAACAGATACAAAAATTGGAAAACTATGCCATTGAGTAATGTCATTCCTTCAGTAGTGATATATAAATCCTTTTGTTAACACCGCACCATGAGAGCTTAAGGCTACCAAAACTTTTTTTCAGAATTGATAATTCTGGAAACCTAGCTCAATAGTAAGAAGCTGAGGGATTAAATAGAAGTAATAAATGAGGCATATGATTATTCACAGGCTCTAGAGAGGATGTTATGGGCAGAGAAGTAGGTTGCATCTTGTAAACTGTGATTTTATTTACCTCATTGGATATTTCTTACAGAGTCTTGGTTAGTTAAAGCAGATGTTCATAAAACAGAGTAATGAGAACTATAGAAAAGAAAGGTCATAACCAGACATATATAAGGAAAGCAAGCACAAATACCATGGCGTACATTCCACGTAGGATTTGGGAATTAGTTGGAGCTGATGATATCGCCATTTCCCTTCTGTATCTACTTAGGGTACATTGCTGATCACAGATTCATTGTGGTGGATCCCTGAAACACTAGAAGAGAGAAGATGTAAAGCTCATTTCTTTTTCATTCTAATGCCCCCATGTCTAGTACTCAAGAAAATACAAATCCTCTGAAAATGAAAAACCCATTGATAATTTCCTCTCCTTAAAAATCCTTCTACCTATTGGCATGTCAACCTGAAGTTTTTCTAGGACGTTAAAAGACCACATTGTCAAACATTCATTCGTCTAAAACTAACTAGTCAGTAACAACTGATTTGTCTTTATGATGGGGAAGCTGTGTCTGCTTAATCTCTGGAGGTTAATAGATTAATGGTCTTTCTAATTTGCTGTTTAACATGAACTAGGTTAAATTCTTCGTATGGGGCTAAGCGACTGCTAGGATAACTGCAAAAGTAAGTTTTCTAAACTATCAGGAAAATACATAAATCTTTATCTCTTACTCTTACATGTACACATGCTGGAAGAGATGCTAGGGTTATTCAGAGTAGGATTATGTTGGTTATAAGAATATTTTTCCTTTGCCCTTATTTTATCTTTTTTAATATATTCCTGTATTAGCAAATCCACTAGTATACATGCATTTATATTAATAGAAGACATGTTTATAAAGGAAGGATTTATTAGCAGAGAATAATCAAGAATAATCCTTGAGTTTTATTAGTAGTAATTTTCTAATGTACATTAGACCTCAGTACATCATTTTACTTAGAAAGGTTTTGATAAACTCTTGAACTCAGTTTAAACATCGTATAGAGCATCCAACTTTTCTCCTCTCTCATGCACTTTCTTAGGTGACGTGCAGTGTGTGAATGCAAAACCCAAAACCACTTGTGTGCTTGTAAGCACCAGGTTATCATCCAAGCATGGCATGGAGCAAACAGACCCAGGCATGGCACTTAGCACAGAGTTTAAAAATAGAGACTGGATAACAGCATAGGGAGAATCAGGGGAAATTTAATAAGCAAAAATGAACTCTTTGTCTTTACCACAGGTTTTTGAGTAAAAATGAAATTTGACAGGTCCAAATGCAAACCATATGAAAGGAGCACTCTATCTACCATGCAGTTCTCCACCAGAGATTCATGCTAATTCAATAACAATACCTTGCTTCCTTCTCACCAGCCAGCAGCAAACAACTCTCTCCATCTGGAAGCCATTTCCCAAACCTTGATAAATTGCCCTAAATCTGCCCTCTCAGCATTTGTTTTTCCTTGTTTGATGTAGACTTTTAAAAAATCCTGTGTGGAGGAGTTTATATCAATAATGTGAAAAACCCACCTTTTTTTTTTTCTTTTTTCCAAATGTAAGCTCATTCAAATAAGATAAAGGCTTTACAATGTTCTCTAGGAAGGGATAGATAGCTACAGACTGTTCTCTGGGGTTCCTATCCTCATACAAACCTTCAGAAAAAAACAGTTGGCCAGCTAGCAATAAGCAGCTCAAGCGACCAGATACCAAACGAGTGCCTGATGGGATCAGGAACTTGTGCCATTTACTGGGATAGCAAAAGTGGATAGTGCTATTTTTTTTTACTATTACACTGAAGATGCCCTGATCTCCTCCTTTTCACGATCACAGAAATGTTTTTCCTATTGAATGCATACTTTCTGGGGCTTGTAGCACTGTGTGCATCACACAGCCTGTGATAGGTGTGAGTGAACATCAAAGTGAGGTAACTGATGGACCACCTGAGCTGAGAGGCCAGTGGCCAGGTGGTTCTGTCTGATGAGGATGCTTTCTTAGGAATGGGGCTGGCTATAGATAAGCCATGGTCGAACAGTGTTTTTGCAGTTCTCCTTTGGGGACAGAGCCCCAGAGCTAGTAGGAGAGTGCCACATGAGGTGAATGTGGGCTGTGCCACCTGGAGCCCCGGGGTGCTCTGGCAGGAAACCTCTGTTAGTGTTACCCAACCTGTGTTTTCAGATTAAACACAGGTGTAGCTGTAATTATCCAGTGTTGTATTGTTGTTGTTTTTTTTTTTCTCTCCATGGCATTCTTTGAATGATTATTTAATCATGTGTGGTTTAGGCTGTGTAGTATGGTTACAAGTGGAGAAGTGAAGCTTACTTTTGCTTTGAGTGCTGCTGGCCATCTGCACCATGAGTGTATGTGTGCAGCTGGTGAATAGACTGCAGCACTGTGCTAATTCATTTATCCTACAGCATGTGGTTTTTCTGTAACTTCACTGATATTGTCAAGGATATGGATGTCAGATTTCAACAGAGTAATCAAACCTGCAATCAATAAGCCACTGAGAAAGGATTTACTTGAATAGCTATAGTAAAGCCTAAGGTGAGCAAAACAAATGTGGTGCTTTGCCACTGTACTCAGAAAATTCCCTTTGGGTTTGTTGTTTTGTTTTGTTTCTGTTTTTTTTTTTTAACTATTATTTTGGTGAGGGGCTGATTTTTATGTTTTTCACACTTATTTTCTTAAAACATTGGTAACAACAAATGAAGGAAAGATAGAATTATTTGTAGAAATGGGGAATGAGAGTTAAAAATACACCTGTGTTTTATCTGAAATGAAAAAACATTGTCAACCTGGAACACGGCATGAATTGCCTGCCCAGGCATTGCCACAGCCTCTTTGTTCCTCAGATAAATGGGAGCTGTTGGGATGCAGAGATTTTTGTCATCTCTGGGTTCTGGTGTTGCTGACAGCTGTCTGAAATGGAAAGTGAAGAGAGGTAAAATCAGTATTTCACGTGGTCCACACCTTGGGCAACAGATGCTGGTGTGTCTGTGGTAGAGCTGCTCTGTAAATTTCACCCACCTCTCTTCTCTTCCTTGGTGAGTTCAGCCAGTGTCCTGGCTTCTCTAGCAGCACTGCAGCATCCTGAGGGTTCAACCAATTTCTCCAGTCATCCAGAGTGACAGATACAATTGGAAAAATTCTGGGTAAAGCTCTTGGGCTTTGGAAAGACAGTGTGCTTTGCAGCCAGACTCTTGTGGTGGGAGGCATTACAGCGAAGCCAGAATGATAGTGAGGAAGCTGGCTCCAAACTTCTGCTAGGAATTTGGCTCTTCTTCCCCCCAACCCTCTGTGCCAAGATTTTGTCCCTGAAAACAGGGTTAGAAATTGAGAGTCTCAGAGCAGAAGAGCGTCTGTGGGATATGTGAGATTTGTGTCTGTCACATGTTGTACGCAGATAAGACTGAGGTGCCAGCAGACAGATGTAGCCAGGCAGAAGCTGTGACTGCTCAGCACAGGGCTGATAGGCAGATAACATCAGTACAGACCTCTCATACTATTAGCGTGGGCTCAGTGCTGCACTGGCCATGTCATTCTCTCATAAGGGTGCACGTGGCCCTGCATTTGCTTGGAGCACGGGCAAGCAAAGTTTGCTGTACTTGTTCTTCACCCTGTTGACATTATGTGAATAACCTCTTGGAGCCCAAGGATAATGAACGGGCTTTAAAATGTAGATATCGTATGTTATTTCATGTCCAGCTGTTCTGGACAGCTCTTACACCACAAGGCTGAGGCAATGCAAGTTTTTTCCAGTGGGCCAGTTTCTCAGTAATGCTGATTTGGCTGGGGCTCTATGAAACTAACTGAGTGGAGGGTTTGGCTACTGATGCATGCCAGCTATGTGAGAGTCCATGTCAGCCCTTGTTTGTTAGGCTAATACTGGTTGGAAATGTATCTTCTTGCTTTTGTTTCTTTGGAACTATTGTCATATAACTCCCCATATACATCATCATTCAGTGCACAGATTAAAAACCACGAGTTGCAATTGCATATGGAGGGAAAATTGGAAGGAACTCACAAACCAGCCTGCCCTCATCCACGTGGGATGGGAGAGCAAACAGCTTTGCCTTCACGTACTGCTCAGTCCTGGCTCTTTTATTTC